CTAAATTGTATGTGATATCTCGTTTCTTATATTTCGATTCTTCTGATGAGCACGTAAAATCACTTTATCTCTATTCACTCACGGATTTGACTTCACACAGAGTCACAGTAAATTAATAATCTACTCTTGAATTTTACACACAATATCCGCAGGGACGACGGAAATAAATTATTTTTTTCTATTTAGAGGATTACATACTTATATATTATTACTTGCGATATGTTTATATTTCTTTACGACAGATATACATTATTACTTGTGATTGTGTCCAGAGGGGTTTCCTGGTTTAAAATAGGTCAGCCTTTGTTGATTGTAAGAGGTGACTAAATGGATCAACGAGCTCAATATTATGCTCCGTTGTCTACCATCTTCCCAAGGCAAGAGAGTTAACTGACTATAAAAGTCCAGTTTCCACCCTTGCCGAACTAGGCTGGTATTATGGGGTTATATTTTGGCTAGACTAACGAGTCTATGCATAGTCCAATCAAAAGCGCACACCGAAATCGAAATCCGGTTCGTAAACTGTCGTGCAGATTTCAGTCGACTGCAGGATTTGCAAAACATGAGCACCGCCATCTCGTTGTCAACAGATATTTTCCAAATCTTTTCATGTTTTTAATCAAGGTGCTCACGTGATTTGATGCATTTCGCGATGTAAGACCCGTTTTATCACAATATAGATCTTGATTATCGATCAGATCGTCCTGACCGGGAGCCACCATTTTGTGTGAAGCAAACGCAACAATGCGAGAGGTGGAATCTGATTGGTCCATAGGAGAGGCTTAGAAGGGACATAACTGGTAATAGCCACAGGTGGCGCTACGATCGAGCCAGGTAATTCCAGCCTAGTTCGGCAAGGGTGGAAACTGGACTTTTAAAGTCAGTTAACTCTCTTGCCTCGGGACGATGTTGTCTACATAACTGATGTATTTCCAACAAAATGACTGTAAGTAGTGCTAAGTAAAAAATACTGCAGTTTAGAGGTCCTTCGGTGGTTGGAACTAACGTATTATTTTTATGTAGAGATATTAAGTTAGAAATGGTTGATTCTAATATTATTTAGGTTTGCTTGTAACTGAACATTGAGATTAAGCCGTATAACTAAATCTGTGGCAAATTCAGCGAGCAGAGCCCTTGGTTTACTTGTCACAAAATATAACCTCCTGGTTGGTATGCAGTATCAGACTTATTCTAAGTTTATCAATCTATGGTATGGTCTACTATTGAATATAGTGTTGCAATATGGGGTACTTTAAAATGTTCATGTATATATGCTGTTCATTACCGCGTCATGCGCTTTGTTCGTGGTTGATGTAAACAAGCACCAACTAATGGTGTCATTGTGGATGTGGGCTGGACTCCCACTGTTGTTAATCAGGGGAGAGTGAGTGAGTTTGGTTTCACGCCGCTTTTAACATTATTCAGGTTATATTACGGCGTGTCAGCTTAATGTGGGGGAAAAGCCCGAAGTGATGCAGGTCTATGACGTTTACCACTTTGGTGAAACCCACGAGCACGGGTATGGTGCTGACAAACCTAGAAACATAATCGGGGCGAACCGGGATTCGAACCCTCAATCATAGGTTTCTGGCGTGCCCAAGGGATGCAACTCTGCACAGCGAATCGCGGCGCCTTAGTCGACTGGGCCACCCGTGCCCCCTAATCAGGGGAGAAGTGTGTCAAGGTTTTATAGGCGCTTGTGTGGTTTACATCGAAACCCAGTTACTAGTAACATTTGTATGTGGAGTAATACTTTGGCTTTACAAAAGAAACGAAATTGGAATTCTAGAGTACATGTAAAGTTATATATTTAATTATATATCATAAATATTATATTTAATAGGTTTAGTAATCAGTTGAAACAAGTATGACACTAAATACATCATTTGAAACTTATGTGTGAATAAACTGAAATACGTGTATATTACATATACACAGTAAAAAAAGTGTTGCACCCCCACATTAATACATTTTGATACATCACAACATTTAAAACGCCCGACTCTGGTTTTAATGGTAGGTATTCCTTGGGGATCTGATGTTAAATGTGTAATGTTTTCGGAGGGAAGATGATCACCAAAACGTAGCAATCAGCAGGTGAATTGCATGGTGCATGACATTTGCAGATTGCAGTATCTTCTTAAGCTCAACATCGCCTATAAAAGATGTTTTCTGACAGCCCAGTTTATTGTAACCCACAATGCCGGGTAGACGATTGTCAGAAGCAGTCAAGTGGCAGATTATTGGCCTTCATGGAGCAGGTCTTTCGTTCAAGGAGATTGGCAGAAGAACCGGACATCACTACTCAACAATAAGCCGTTTGGTCAGAAAACACGCACAAACTAATGATGTAAGGAATCGCAGACCCTCTGGCAGACCACGTAAGACCACAGTTAGAGATGACAGAGCGTTGTTGAGGGTGGTAAGGCGTCATCCATTTGCTACAAGCACAACCTTGAAACGTCTTTGGCTTCCTCGTCAACAGTTCAGTACCCAGACCGTGAGAAATCGTCTTAAAGCTGCAGGGTTGAAGTCCAGAAGGGTTATCAAGCGACCTAAACTCACAGACAACCACAAACGACTACGTCTAGCCTGGTGTAGACTGAGACAGAACTGGAACTTGAGGTCCTGGAGAAGAGTCCACTGGTCGGACGAAAGCAGGTTCCTTCTGCATGTTGTGGATGGCAGAGTGAGAGTATGGAGGCGTCCTGGAACAGCTTATACTGCAAGAAACATCATGCCAACTGTACCATATGGAGGTGGATCTGTTATGGTGTGGGGATGCTTCTCATTTGATTGTAAGCTTGATTTAGTGACCATACGAGGCAACTTGACAGGGGAGCGCTACATCCAAGAGGTGCTGAATCCAGTTGTGGTGCCCCATTTTGACAATCATCCACTGGCCACCAGACCGATATTCATGGATGACAATGCCAGACCACATCGTTCACGAGCTGTGACCCAGGTTATCCACAACAATGCTCTGACGCAGATTCCATGGCCAGCAATGAGTCCAGATCTGAATCCTCTGGAACATGTATGGGACATTTTGGGACGCCTGATTTATCGTCGGGACCCTCCTCCACAGAACTTGCGTGAATTGGAAGCAGCATTACACGAGGAGTGGCAGCAGCTGCCCATGGAGCGATTCCAACGTCTGGTGAGGAGTATGAGACGAAGACTTCAAGCTGTGATCCAAGTGCTTGGTGGAAGTTCTCGATATTGACTTACTGTGTTCGTCAAATCTCCATATGACATTCTTACCCTATTGGATGAATTTGGTCACTAAAAATTATTGAGATGTCACCATACTTAATGCGTCTTCGTTGTTCGTTCATTTTTCGTAAAAGTTCAGCATGAGATTATTACATGCCATAAGGTCATGGAATACCCCATTTAAGTTCATTGTATAGACAATACACTGGTTTGTTGGTATACACGAAATCCTGGTTATAATATTAATTCGGTTATCTTTACACCCTTTCAAAACACCCCTCCATGAAAAAGTATAGGGGGTGCAACACTTTTTTTACTGTGTATATTAATTGTATGTCTAATCTGTTCAAATCGAGTATTCATTGAAAGATAACCTACCTATCGCATCATTATTCAGATTAGCAGTTCATGTGTTATTTTGCCAGTATGTAAGAACTCATTTAGATGTTTGACTTATTTCTATAATGACAAAAGAGCATATATGGATGTTTTACTTATTTCTATAATGACAAAAGAGCATATATGGATGTTTGACTTATTTCTATAATGACAAAAGAGCATATATGGATGTTTGACTTATTATGACAATGACAAAAGAGCATATATGGACGTTTGACTTATTATGACAATGACAAAAGAGCATATATGGATGTTTGATTTATTTCTATAATGACAAAAGAGCATATATGGATGTTTGACTTACTTGTATTTCTATAATGACAAAAGAGCTTAGATGGATGTTTGACATATTTTTATGACAAAAGAGTTTAGATGGATGTTTGACTTATTTTTATAATGACAAAAGAGCATATATGGGCTTCTCCCAATCCACAGTGTTTGTGTTTGTGTCGTGAACGGCTGCATATTTGAAAGAGACTTCAAAGCCCTTATTTGTTACCTTTGATAGAAGAAGGTTTCAATAAATTCGGAAACAGTGATGTCATATATAAGAGGAGATACATTAAATGCCACACACGATGTACCATAATTATAGCCGCCGTCACATACCTGAAATATTGCCGCGTGTGGTTGTAAACAACACATAAACAATCCTTTGTACCATTGCTGTAGTGGTATTGTTGGACTATTGCTAACAGCGGCGTAAATCCATACTCATTCACTCTGATGGTTATGTTGAAAGCAACCCTTCACTTCAGTGCACACTAAAATATTAAGTGAATATTTTACTAAGAAAAGTGAAATTCTGTATTTTTACTTTACAGACTGCAAGTGTATTTCTGCTACAACTGTCTTACTGTGAGTAAAAAGGAGAATTAAAAAAAAAAACGCCAACAGTTTCAATCATTCAGTATTTCATTACACAAATACCAATATCATAAGCCAGAAACTGAAATTTCTGAGTCTAAAGGGACCCGTCTGCTGATAAGCATAGGGCATAATGGTCTCAATCTTCACTTTGCAAAGCGCAGCACAGACCTAGAAATATCAATGGCTTTAAACATGTACAATTTAACGGTATATTTGCACATACACCATGTGTAAATTGTCTTTGTAAATATCCACATAATTAGGCTTACAGTATTATAATATCCGACGATATAACCTGACACAAAATACTGCCATCGTTTTTCAGGTTTCACCTATTTCATGGTATGTTTTACCAGGCGAAGGGACAAGTAGCATTAAAGCGGTATTGTTACAAACAATTAAGAAGTTGTAATCCTTAAAAAGTTTCATGTCATCCAAAATTCATCATTCCTTTACTGAGCGTCTGATTTTCTTGTGGGCATTCAATTTGATAAATGCGGAGTTGTTGGCCCGACAGAGGGCGCATATTTCAAGGGAGGCAACTCTGAAATATTAAGTTGAAAGCACGAAGTTGAAGGAAATAGATATTTTGTAAGCTGGTAAGTGTTGGGCGACGTTTTCCAACGTCATATTTACTTATGTGAACAGTGGCCAGTGTCTTTAGAATATGAGTAGGGTTAACAGTTTTCTTTCTAAAAACACTGAAATATGTTTGAGATATGCAAGTTTTGGCTTACGTTTGACGAACAGCAACTTTCTTTCACACTCAAGACGTCAGTTTCGATTATAAAAATCATACTGAAACTGGAGTCGGTGACATGAAAAAAGGTGGAATTATGTAGAAAGGGGAGTTTATCGGGGACATCTAATTGGCTCCGGCTGTGGTTCTCCCTTCGCTAATCTCGCATGTGTCTCTTCGATCTTGTCGATAGTAAACCATTAACTCTCAGATCCCTTATGAGACCAAGCATCTCTTTTCAGTCTTTAGGCTTAGGCTCTCCGTTCCGATTAAACCAACCTTCTGGCGTATCTTTGTATTAGAAGTTGTTATATCGTTTCATTGTTTTATTTATGTATTTATGTCCTATTTTATACATCTCCGGGGTAGAATAGGTCTTCGGCAACCCATGCTTGCCGTAAGAGGTGACTATGCTTGTCGTAAAAGGCGACTAACAGGATCAGGTGGTCAGGCTTGCTGACTTGGTTGATGCATGTCATCGATCCCAATTGCGTGGATCGATGCTCATGATATCAATCACTGGATTGTCTCGTCCAGACTCGACTATTTACAGACCGCCGTCATATAGCTGGAATAATGCTGAGTGCGGTGTTAAACAACAAACCAACCAACCAACCAACTATTTTATACATCAGTGAAATAAACTTTGAGACTAGTTGCCTCCGATATACGTTATAAAGCTAAAGAGTGAACCCAATACGGTGTAGTAATACATGAGTCAGTTTAATTCCCGCCAACCCTTCATGTTCCTTAAGGTTGGGTACCCCTTGCCGATCGAACATCCCTTTCCATCCTTAAAGGGACAGGACGTTGACTGTTCTGAAGCTTTGTTTGTAACCAATAGCCGACAACCCCGAGCTTACTCGACTCTTTTCGTCTTATTCCAACAAGGATAAGTGTTAAGTTTGAAATTAAGCATAGGCCCTCCTTATCATGCTTATCAACTACCTATTCTGCTGTAGTATTTGATTTTTGGGATCCCAGAAATGTTTATTGCTGGTGTTATAATGATAATAACTGCCTTTCATTCAGATCTGCCTCACATCTAATCATGGCCACCGAGAAGACAGCAGCTAATCCCCTAGAACAGTTTGTACTTCTTGCCAAGACGGCTAAAGGGGCAGCGGCAGTGAGCCTCATCAAGCAGGTGCTCGATGCTCAGGGCGTGTACGTGTTCGGGGAACTACTGGACATGCCTAACATACAGGAGGTAGGGATTCATCGGCTGTGTAGCTTACTAAGGCTATGTAGCCTACTGAGGCTGTGTAGCTTACTGAGGCTGCATTTGGCTGTGCAGAGTGGTGTTCCGGAGTGCCAAAATCATATGATTATGCCTGTTGCCCTGATTGTGATTTGTCTCATGAAGATCCGGGGTAGGATAGGTCCAACAGCAGACAAAGAACTTGAAAAGTTTAAACATGTATAAAGAGTTTAAAAAAACACACAAATGATTTCATAAATTCAATTATATCCCTACATATAACCATATGCCACAATATGATACTACCGTGAAGATCTGGGGTAAAATAGGTCTTCATCGACCCATGCTTGCCATAAAAGGCGACTATGCTTGTCGTAAGAGACGACTAATAGAATCGAGTGGTCAGACTCAGTGACTTGGTTGATGCATGTCATCATATCCCAATTGCGTGGATCAATACTCATGATGTCAGTCCCTGGATTGTCTGGTCCAGCCTCAATTATCTACAGACTGCCGTCATATATCTTGAATATTGCTGAGTGCGGCGTTAATTAACAAACAAACTGATTGTGATTCTTGATATGTCAGCACCATATCCATGTAAACACTTGTCTCAGGTATTGCAAATTATCTATGCAGAATGGCTCTGTGAGGATCCTGGGTTTGAATTGGTCCCCAATAATCTATGCTAGTCGTAAGAGATGACTTTATGAGTCAGGTGGTCAGACGTGTGACATGGTGACCAGGTTGACCGTTGTCATCGTACCCCGATGGCGTGGATCGTTGCCCACAATATCAATCACTGGACTGTCTGGCCTAGACTCGATTCTTTACAGCCCACCGTCATATTGCTGGAATATTGCGGAGTGAGGTGTTGAGCATGAATTGTTATACCAGATTGGCGACCTGTGAAGTAGAATAAGTCTTCAGCGACCCATGCTTGCCATAAAAGGCCCCCCCCCCCCCAAAAAAAACATGACAAGTTACACAAAACACTAGTGTTATTAATGTGGTATCGTATGTTTCTAGGTATTGAATGTGTTCAGTAGCGATGTTGTGTGGACATTTAACATTGTGTATGGTTAGACACAAATCAAATCTCATTAAAATGAGATTTTAGTTCTGAGGACATCCCATTATGGGTCGCGTCAGAACGACCTCTCATCCGACCAATCAGAGCGTCACTTACCAGATCATCAAAGCGATATTTGGAATGTGTTTCCTAATCATGCAACTTTGAAAATTTTATATGGGGTCTTTAGGACTGAATCTATACAATCTAGGTAATCTATTCGCCATTCCAGAATGTTCGTTTGTTCAGTTTTCAAATATTCACACGAGAATTTGTCATAATATGTTTCGAAGCGTAGTCGCCACTTTGAAACTAGTGTCATAAAGCACAAGAAAGCTGCCTTCTGATTGGCTAATGTTGACTTCTTGTCTCAGTCATTCTACTGGTCGGTCAAAGTTCACGAAAGGTTGTTCTGATGTGACCCATAAAGGCATGTCCTCAGATCTTTGTTTTTTGTGGTAGTGAGAACTAAGATCTGGTTTTAATGAGATTATGGTAGGGCTGACAAAGACATGATTCAACAAATAATGAAAATTTGAATGATTTTGAAGTGCACTTGGCACGTAGCTATACATGCAAGGTTCCATTTTTCAATGGAATTACATCGAGCTCTGGTTTTTACCTATATGCCGCAATAAACACAAACATAAAAATTACATCAACAATAATAACTTTGCAGACTGCTTATCTAATTGTTGACTCACAAAGCCCCGCCCCAACTGTTATCAGCAAATCCGGAAACAAGAGTCCATTAGTGGGTGGGGCCTGTTTTGTTTACTTTATGAAAACAAACAACCAAAAAATGCTTGGTTAGCCAATTAAATGCCATGGAAACACTTGCAATTATTTATCATAACTTATACCATCTTCTTTGTATTTCCAGCTGTCAACAGGGCCACATGCTCCATATTTCCAGGTCTTGAATCTATTTGCATATGGAACTTACAGAGAATACAAAGGTTTGTATTCAGACACTAGCTTTTTTATTTCTTTACATATTGGCACACCCAAGATTTGATTTTGACTGACATGATTAACATGATCAACGATCAGTTGTTTTTTCTGTTAACTTATTTCAGTTCTGTGATCTAAATCCTGCAAATCAGATTGATTTGAGAAGGGAAATAATTCTTTCTGAGAAAATCTCCAAACACTTTGGATTTATATGGGTTTTTTCTCCATAAACCAAGCAATGATGACCCTACCTTACATGATAAAATCATTTTTTAATTGTAAACTAAACTTTGTGAATAGGACGACAACTTAAAAAATATTTGTATTACTTCCCACATTTTGTTGAGCTTCAGTGGGTTGATTTGTTTATTTAAATTACCTCCAAATTCTTCCAATTATTTTAAGATTTAGTTAAGATGTGAAAGACTTTTTTCTTGTGGACATTAGTTCTCACCTGTGAAGTTCCGGGTTAGAATTGGTCTTCAGCAACCCTTGCTTGTCGTAAGAGGCGACTAACGGGATCGGGTGGTCAGGCTCGCTGACTTGGTTGATGCATGTCATCGAATCCCAACTGTGTAGATCAATGCTTATGATGTCAATCACTGGATTGTCTGGTCCAAACAGCCGTCTTATAGCTGAAATATTGCTGAGTGCGTTAAACAACAAACAAACCAACATAAGTTCCGTCTTCAACTTCACACATAGTAATTCTTTCCCTGCTTTGTTCCAGCCAATGTGGCAATGCTCCCAGAGTTGACGGCGGGGCAGTTAACAAAACTGAGACATTTAACAATTGTTTCATTAGCCACAAAAACCAAAGTAAGTAACAGGCAGCTATGTAAAGAATTTGCACGGCCACTACATAAGTAATAATGGGACGCTAGTAACACACTGGAAAACTTGCTTTTTTCAACTGTTGTGATTCATTGCGCATTCATTAAAGTCTGTCTGCAAGTACAATACTGTCATTAAGCATCTTGATCCATGGCCTTTTGATAAGTGTCATCATCTGACCTTACAAGACAGAAACAATCATAATAGTTCTGTATGATTCTGGAACAGATTAGGTCCCCAGGACCCCATGCTTGTCTCTCCATGGGTATCTGGGACAGAGTAGGTCCCCAGCACCCCATGCTTGTCTCTCCATGGGTATCTGGGACAGAGTAGGTCCCCAGCACCCCATGCTTGTCTCTCCATGGGTATCTGGGTCCCCAGCACCCTATGCTTGTCTCTCAGTGCGTATCTGGGACAGAGTAGGTCCCCAGCACCCATTGCTTGTTTTTCCATGGGTATCTGGGACAGAGTAGGTCCCCAGCACCCTATGCTTGTCTCTCAGTGCGTATCTGGGACAGAGTAGGTCCCCAGCACTCATTGCTTGTCTCTCCATGGGTATCTTGGACAGAGTAGGTCCCAAGCACCCTATGCTTGTCTTTCCATGGGTATCTGGGACAGAGTAGGCCTCCAGCACCCCATGCTTGTCTCTCCATGGGTATCTGGGACAGAGTAGGTCCCCAGCACCCCATGCTTGTCTCTCCATGGGTATCTGGGTCCCCAGCACCCATTGCTTGTCTCTCCATGGGTATCTGGGACAGAGTAGGTCCCCAGCACCAATTGCTTGTCATTCCATGGGTATCTGGGAGAGAGTAGGTCCCCAGCACCCATTGCTTGTTTTTCCATGGGTATCTGGGAGCACCCAATGCTTGTCTCTCTCTCCATAGGTATCTGGGACAGAGTAGGTCCCCAGCACCCCATGCTTGTCTCTCCATAGGTATCTGGGACAGAGTAGGTCCCCAGCACCCATTGCTTGTCTCTCCATGGGTATCCAGGACAGAGTAGGTCCCCAGCACCCTATGCTTGTCTTTCCATGGGTATCTGGGACAGAGTAGGTCCCCAGCACCCTATGCTTGTCTCTCATGGGTATCCAGGACAGAGTAGGTCCTAAGCACCCTATGCTTGTCTCTCCGTGGGTATCTGGGACAGAGTAGGTATGCTTGTCTCTCCATGGGTATCTGGGACAGAGTAGGTCCCCAGCACCCTATGCTTGTCTTTCCATGGGTATCTGGGACAGAGTAGGCCTCCAGCACCCCATGCTTGTCTCTCCATGGGTATCTGGGACAGAGTAGGTCCCCAGCACCCCATGCTTGTCTCTCCATAGGTATCTGGGTCCCCAGCACCCATTGCTTGTCTCTCCATGGGTATCTGGGACAGAGTAGGTCTCCAGCACCCCATGCTTGTCTCTCCATAGGTATCTGGGTCCCAAGCACCCATTGCTTGTTTTTCCATGGGTATCTGGGAGAGAGTAGGTCCCCAGCACCCATTGCTTGTTTTTCCATAGGTATCTGGGACAGAGTAGGTCCCCAGCACCCTATGCTTGTCTTTCCATGGGTATCCAGGACAGAGTAGGCCTCCAGCACCCCATGCTTGTCTCTCCATGGGTATCTGGGACAGAGTAGGTCCCCAGCACCCTATGCTTGTCTCTCATGGGTATCCAGGACAGAGTAGGCCTCCAGCACCCCATTGCTTGTCTCTCCATGGGTATCTGGGACAGAGTAGGTCCCCAGCACCCCATGCTTGTCTCTCCATGGGTATCTGGGACAGAGTAGGCCTCCAGCAACCCATGCTTGTCTCTCCATGGGTATCTGGGACAGAGTAGGTCCCCAGCACCCCATGCTTGTCTCTCCATAGGTATCTGGGTCCCCAGCACCCATTGCTTGTCTCTCCATGGGTATCTGGGACAGAGTAGGTCTCCAGCACCCCATGCTTGTCTCTCCATAGGTATCTGGGTCCCCAGCACCCATTGCTTGTCTCTCCATGGGTATCTGGGAGAGAGTAGGTCCCCAGCGCCCATTGCTTGTTTTTCCATGGGTATCTGGGAGAGAGAAGGTCCCCAGGACCCCATGCTTGTCTCTCATGTGTATCTGACACAGTGTAGGTCCCCAGCGCCCATTGCTTGTTTTTCCATGGGTATCTGGGAGAGAGAAGGTCCCCAGGACCCCATGCTTGTCTCTCATGTGTATCTGACACAGTGTAGGTCCCCAGGACCCAATGCTTGTCTCTCCATGGGTATCTGGGACAGAGTAGGTCCCCAGCGCCCATTGCTTGTTTTTCCATGGGTATCTGGGAGAGAGAAGGTCCCCAGGACCCCATGCTTGTCTCTCATGTGTATCTGACACAGTGTAGGTCCCCAGCGCCCATTGCTTGTTTTTCCATGGGTATCTGGGACAGAGTAGGTCCCCAGCGCCCATTGCTTGTTTTTCCATGGGTATCTGGGAGAGAGATGGTCCCCAGGACCCCATGCTTGTCTCTCATGTGTATCTGACACAGTGTAGGTCCCCAGCGCCCATTGCTTGTTTTTCCATGGGTATCTGGGACAGAGTAGGTCCCCAGCGCCCATTGCTTGTTTTTCCATGGGTATCTGGGAGAGAGATGGTCCCCAGGACCCCATGCTTGTCTCTCATGTGTATCTGACACAGTGTAGGTCCCCAGCGCCCATTGCTTGTTTTTCCATGGGTATCTGGGACAGAGTAGGTCCCCAGCGCCCATTGCTTGTTTTTCCATGGGTATCTGGGAGAGAGATGGTCCCCAGGACCCCATGCTTGTCTCTCCATAGGTATCTGGGTCCCCAGCACCCATTGCTTGTCTCTCATGTGTATCTGACACAGTGTAGGTCCCCAGGACCCAATGCTTGTCTCTCCATGGGTATCTGGGACAGAGTAGGTCCCCAGCGCCCATTGCTTGTCTCTCCATTGGTATCTGGGACAGAGTAGGTCCCCAGCACCCAATGCTTGTCTCTCCATTGGTATCTGGGACAGAGTAGGTCCCCAGCACCCATTGCTTGTCTCTCTCTCCATAGGTATCTGGGACAGAGTAGGTCCCCAGCACCCATTGCTTGTCTCTCTCTCCATAGATATCTGGGACAGAGTAGGTCCCCAGCACCCCATGCTTGTCTCTCCATGGGTATCTTGGACAGAGTAGGTCCCCAGCACCCTATGCTTGTCTCTCCATGTGTATCCGGGACAGAATAGGTCCCCAGCACTCATTGCTTGTCTCTCCATGGGTATCTGGGACAGAGTAGGTCCCCAGCACCCCATGCTTGTCTCTCCATGGGTATCTGGGACAGAGTAGGTCCCCAGCACCCTATGCTTGTCTCTCCATGGGTATCTGGGAGAGAGTAGGTCCCCAGCACCCATTGCTTGTCTCTCCATGGGTATCTGGGACAGAGTAGGTCCCCAGCACTCATTGCTTGTCTCTCCATGGGTATCTGGGACAGAGTAGGTCCCCAGCACCCAATGCTTGTCTCTCCATTGGTATCTGGGACAGAGTAGGTCCCCAGCACCCATTGCTTGTCTCTCTCTCCATAGGTATCTGGGACAGAGTAGGTCCCCAGCACCCATTGCTTGTCTCTCTCTCCATAGATATCTGGGACAGAGTAGGTCCCCAGCACCCCATGCTTGTCTCTCCATGGGTATCTTGGACAGAGTAGGTCCCCAGCACCCTATGCTTGTCTCTCCATGTGTATCCGGGACAGAATAGGTCCCCAGCACTCATTGCTTGTCTCTCCATGGGTATCTGGGACAGAGTAGGTCCCCAGCACCCCATGCTTGTCTCTCCATGGGTATCTGGGACGGAGTAGGTCCCCAGCACTCATTGCTTGTCTCTCCATGGGTATCTGGGAGAGAGTAGGTCCCCAGCACCCTATGCTTGTCTCTCCATGGGTATCTGGGAGAGAGTAGGTCCCCAGCACCCATTGCTTGTCTCTCCATGGGTATCTGGGACAGAGTAGGTCCCCAGCACTCATTGCTTGTCTCTCCATGGGTATCTGGGACAGAGTAGGTCCCCAGCACCCTATGCTTGTCTCTCCATGGGTATCTGGGACAGAGTAGGTCCCCAGCACCCTATGCTTGTCTCTCCATGGGTATCTGGGACAGAGTAGGTCCCCAGCACCCTATGCTTGTCTCTCCATAGGTATCTGAGACAGAGTAGGTCCCCAGCAACCTATGCTTGTCTCTCATGGGTATCTGGGACGGAGTAGGTCCCCAGCACCCCATGCTTGTCTCTCCATGGGTATCTGGGACAGAGTAGGTCCCCAGCACCCTATGCTTGTCTCTCATGGGTATCCAGGACAGAGTAGGTCCCCAGCACCCTATGCTTGTCTCTCATGGGTATCCAGGACAGAGTAGGTCCCCAGCACCCTATGCTTGTCTCTCCATGGGTATCTGGGACAGAGTAGGTCCCCAGCACCCTATGCTTGTCTCTCATGGGTATCCAGGACAGAGTAGGTCCCCAGCACCCAATGCTTGTCTCTCATGGGTATCCAGGACAGAGTATTACCCAACCTCTGTTATTCATGCTGTCAATGTCTGGTTTTCCTGTATCAGAATGGCAGTCCACCGTGATAAGGCTAGAATATAGCTGAGTATGGTGGAAACAACATTCAAACTAACTGACTGCAAAGTATTCCTGACAGCCCTTATTACAAATGAAGCTTCTATGGGTTTCACCATAGAGGTATGTAGAACTACTCAAAAGAAGATAAAGAACACCCGATTCTTTCATATGACTATACCTACTCTGTCATGGCCAGAGGGAGATCTTTAGCTTCTTTTGAGTAATATATTTACACCTTGTGTCAAACTGAACTTTTGTCCCACATTAAACTGTCGACCCGTGAAGATCCGGGGTAGAATAGGTCTTCAGCAACCCATGCTAACGGGATCGGGTGGTCAGGCTCACTGACTTGGTTGATGCATGTCATCAATCCTAATTGCGTGGATCGATGTTCATGATATTAATCATTGGATTGTCTGGTCCAGACTCGATTATTTACAGACCGCCGTCATATAGCTGGAATATTGCTGAGTGTGGCGTTAAACAACAAACAAACCAACCAACCAACCACATTAAACTGTCAATTTGTCAAACTGAAATACACTTAATCACTGTTCATCCTTTTACATTGCAGTGCATTCCCTATTCAATCCTGTTAGAAGAGTTAGAAATACAGAATGTTCGAACACTTGAGGTAAGTGATCTCTGGTGCCTTCATACATCAAGATAGCACTGACACCATATGCCTCGGTCATGAACCGCATGGGGAGTCTGGGGTAGAAGCGGTGCCCAGTAACTCTGCTGGTCGTAAGGGGCAAGTGATCTCTGGTGCCTTCATACATCAAGATAGCACTGACACCATATGCCTCGGTCATGAACCGCATGGGGAGTCTGGGGTAGAAGCGGTGCCCAGTAACTCTGCTGGTCGTAAGGGGCAAGTGATCTCTGGTGCCTTCATACATCAAGATAGCACTGACACCATATGCCTCGGTCATGAACCGCATGGGGAGTCTGGGGTAGAAGCGGTGCCCAGTAACTCTGCTGGTCGTAAGGGGCAAGTGATCTCTGGTGCCTTCATACATCAAGATAGCACTGACACCATATGCCTCGGTCATGAACCGCATGGGGAGTCTGGGGTAGAAGCGGTGCCCAGTAACTCTGCTGGTCGTAAGGGGCAAGTGATCTCTGGTGCCTTCATACATCAAGATAGCACTGACACCATATGCCTCGGTCATGAACCACATGGGGAGTCTGGGATAGAAGCGGTGCCCAGTAACTCTGCTGGTCGTAAGAGGCAAGTGATCTCTGGTGCCTTCATACATCAAGATAGCACTGACACCATATGCCATGGTCATGAACCGCAAGGAGAGTCTGGGGTAGAAGCGGTGCCCAGTAACTCTGCTGGTCATAAGAGGCAAGTGATCTCTGGTGCCTTCATACATCAAGATAGCACTGACACCATATGCCATGGTCATGAACCGCAAGGAGAGTCTGGGGTAGAAGCGGTGCCCAGTAACTCTGCTGGTCGTAAGAGGCAAGTGATCTCTGGTGCCTTCATACATCAAGATAGCACTGACACCATATGCCATGGTCATGAACCGCAAGGAGAGTCTGGGGTAGAAGCGGTGCCCAGTAACTCTGCTGGTCGTAAGAGGCAAGTGATCTCTGGTGCCTTCATACATCAAGATAGCACTGACGCCATATGCCATGGTCATGAACCGCAAGGAGAGTCTGGGTTAGAAGCGGTGCCCAGTAACTCTGCTGGTTGTAAAAGCGACTTAACGGATCAGATGGTCAGGCTCCATACTTGGATGATTAACTAATAAGTTTTTCCAATATAGAATTATGGAATCTGTCTGTACCAAAACGTTTACCGCTTACTAACCCGAACCTGGGTCCAAGCATCAATTTTCAGTATATTTAATTGTTATTATGTTGACTATTATCATGATTATTAGCTGTTCCCACTGTACTCAACTGAATTTGACTAGACTGGGTGGGGATTCAGACTTGCGGCTGATGTCACAAATTGTGGAATGAAGATTTAAAACCGATAAGATGGTTTCACTAAACAAAAACGAACATCCCCATTTATGTTTACAAACATAAGTATGTGCGTGACATTACCCAAACAGTTTTGAAACTTGTTTGTGATGTTTGTACTATTAACGGCAAATAGAATCAGTCTCTACTCTGACCAATATTTTGGGCAACACCTCAAGGTTTTCAATGTTAATGTTTGTCAAATATATGTTGGTAGTTACTGCGTTGGTATCGTTTGACTTTTTGACGTCTGCATTTGACAGAATTTAAGAGGAACTAAGTAAAAACACATGTTTGTTGTGAAAATAGATTAGAGTTTTCAAACCTGTGTTTGTGGAGTTATGTTGCCCGTGTGATGCAGCCTTTATGTGTCTTCCAGGATCTGATCATTGAGGTAATTTACGCTGACATCATCCATGGCAAGCTGGACCAACGGAATCAACAGCTGGAAGTGGACTACGCCATTGGTCGAGACATACGCTCCGATGCAGTCCCAGAAATCATCACCGTACTGCAAGACTGGTTGGTATTTTATGTACACCTATTTTGTACTCTACGAGTTTGACAGGATCAACACCTTGATGAATCTGGTGTTTTTTTTGTGAGGGACTGCTCCTGTTTTTGCTGTTACAAGTGTATTATTTTATTTCTGGCAGTATTTTCTAGTGGCCTATATGTTAGGCTTAAAAAAATAATCGCATTGGTTCTCAGGCAATGGCTTTTGAAATAATTGCACAGGCGGGTGGTGTTTTTTTTTGTTCAAGCTAGGATGTAACCAAATTTTGTTTACAATAATTTCAGGGAAATCATGTCGTTCTTAAGTATTGTAGCATTTAACTGCCGGGGTTGTGTAGTTTGAGACTCAGAATATTTAAAGATTTTCAACAACAAAAATTGGAAAATGGAAATGTGTGACAGACTTTATGTTGCGGGCAGTGCCTGAGACTATTATTTTTTTAGCCTTATGCAATTACAGAGTTATCTCCCTTCACATTCCATACAGCATCACTTCCGGTTTCTTTTGATGCTTGAGTGTCGTTGGTATCCTTGCATTCGTTACACTGTATGTTTTACATGCATATAGGTTCTATCAGATTGTGATGTAATTGTGTGACGTGGTGGGGCAGTAAGCTTTGGATAACGGTCGAGAGAGAGAGGGAGGATTACGGAGGGCTGAGCGGATTGTGTCTCTGTGTGCATGTTATTGTCAGTTGGGTCCGTTGATTGCACTCCAGACTTTATAAGTTGAATAAACGTACAGATTGTTTCATCCTGTGTTCCTGGTGTAATTTCTACACATTCAAACACTTTTCTAGTTATTTATAGACCGCGGTCATATAGCTGGATAATTGCTGTATAGCATTAAACAACAAACAAATAAGGACCAAACCGTGTTGCCCCTAAGTGTTGGGTGTGTTCCAGGTGCAATGGCTGTGAAACAGTTCTGAAGGGTATAGAAGACCAGATCTCCAAGGCCAACGCCAACAAGGAAAAGAACAACAAGATCAAGGCAGAGATTGAAACAGAGGTGAGGAAGAGATATGTCCCCTTGCACTTCCTGCGCTACAGGTTACACATGACCAGATGTTTTCCCATCGACTTCTATAGTAACGTTATATTTCTTTTTTAAATAACTAAGCATTAAACAGCTATTACCTAGACATGTGAGCACAGACTGGCCTTACAGCAGCAATGATAACAAATACAATGGCTAGCTTAGTCAGCTCCTTTTCCAAGTTCGAATCCCGGTTCGCTCTGACTAGGTTTGTCAGCACCATACCCGTGCTCGTGGGTTTCACCAAAGTGGTAAACGTACGAGACCTGCATCACTTCGGGCTTTCCTCCCACATTAAGCTGACACGCCGTGATATGACTGGAATAATGTTAGAAGCGGCGTTAAATTATGTTTTGTTCATAGCTGACTCAGGATACCTACCTTGTCAGAGCAGTAGGTTCATGGGCCGCCTCCGTGGTCTAGAGGTAGAGTGTCCGTCCGGAGAGCGGAAGGTCCGGGGTTTGAACCCCGGCCACGTAATGCCAAAAGACGTTAAAAGATGGTATTTGTTGTTACCCTGTCTAGCTCTCAGCATTAAGGGGCTAAAACAAGGACTGGTTGGCTTGGAGTCAGTATACTGTGTCTGAGTGGGGTATTCATGTTAAGCTGTGGCATGGTATCTCAGTGGGCTAGCATTATAAATCGTCATCAGTCCGGACTAGTACAAGCAGCCACACACACATGCAAATGCACGTTACTATATAAGTGCAATAATCTTGGACTCGACCTTAAACCCAATTTCACCTCACCAGTAGGTTCATGGGGGGGGATCATATGTCCCTTTGCAGAGTTGCCTCCCTTAGCTAGAAGGAACAACTGGTCTAAGTTCCAATCCCAGCAGTTATGGATTTTGATTGGATTATGCATAGACTCGTTAGTCCAGCCAAACTATGACTCCATAATTCAGTCTATTTTTCGGCAAGGGTGGAAACTGGACTTTTATAGTCAGTTAACTCCCTTGCCTCAGGAAGATGGAAAATCTAATATGGAACCTCGAGCAAACGATCTGCCCCAATTTTGAACAGGCGATTTCCACCTGTAATGGAAACTGGACTTTTATAGTCAATTAACTCTTTTGCCTCGGGGAGATGTGTAATCTTGGGCGCAACATTAAAATCCATTTCACCCCCATCACCTCTACACTACTGTGACAGGTGGCCAACATCAAGAAGACGCTGAAGAGCACCCAGCAGTCAGACCTGGATGACCAGATGGTGACAGACAGCTCCCTCTCACAGTCCGACAAACCAAAGAAAACCTCAAAGAGTAAAGGGTAGGGAGACTTTTTTTAAACTATTTTTCAGTTTTTTTAAACTCAAAAACTGACTTCATATTACAATTTACTGCAATATTGATTCATATATTTCATTTTTTACTGTATGTTTAACTGTAATTTTCTTAACCTGAATGAAAATAACCCACATCTTTGTAATCCAGTATGAATTAATTTGTTGTCAGACGATACCTCGGGGCATATGGTGTGATGTACCCTGTGCGTGAATATGACTTGGGTACAATGGCTGACACACAGGGTACCTCACACCTTATACCCATCAAGCTCTGTTGACAACTTATCCAAATATCAGTGACCATTAAATTTCCAGTATTCTACTTGTAAGATTTTTGTTTGTTGTTTAACGCCGCACTCAGCAATATTCCAGCTATAAGACGGCGGTCTGTAAATAATCGAGTCTGCACCAGACAGTCGAGTGAATGACATCATGAGCATCAATCTACTCAATTTGGATACAATGACATGCATCAACATGGGTCCTTGACGTAAAAGGCGACTGTGCTTGTCGTAAGAGGCGACTAACAGGATCGGGTGGTCAGGCTTACTGACTTGGTTGAAGCATGTCATCGATCCCAATTGCGTGGATTGAGGCTCATGATATCAATCACTGGATTGTCTGGTCCAGCCTCGATTATTTACAGACCGACGTCATGTAGCTGGAATATTGCTGAGTGCGGCGTTAAACAACAAACCAGACAACCAGCCTCTTAGGTCAAGCATGGGTTGCTGAAGACCTTCTATGAGAAAAAGTATTGTCTGTTGTATGTTTCAGACTACGGGGAAGCAGTACCACAAAGCTATGGAAGTGATGTGAGCTGTGATTAAATTTGTGAACTTGTACATATTTGTGGAAAGAAATACTAAGTGCTACAGACACTCCTCAAGCTTGAGTTATCTCCCTGTGCCACAAACCGATTTTCAAATGTCCAACGCATCACCAATGAAGTTGTGGGATGGATACCAAGTACTCTGTTCAGCATGTGGTAATTTACTTGAAGCTTTGGAAATGAAACGTTTCTTTTCTCTCACGGCTGTCTCTTATTACAATGTGCAAAGTGTCATCGATATATATAAAATATATATCACAAGGACTTGTTTAAGTCAATACTGAGCCAAAGAAGTTAGGGATCATGAAATATTTTTTTATGTGGAATATGAAATTGTGTGCTCAAATCTTGACCAGGGTTTGCCCTAGCCTCTGAAAACTGTGGGTCATTATGACTCCTTACCTGAACTACAGGGAGTCACATGACTTTCGAAGCGGTTCATTTTAACAAAATACTAATTGATGTTGATTTCGTAAAGAAATTGATTTTAATCTCTAAATCATTATCTTGTTTCTCTAATCAAGCTGTTAAAATCATGTTTTAAGTATTTTTCTACTGTCTACGCAGTTGCTAATATTATTTATTCTTAATGTCCAATGTTTGTTAGATATTAGATTGATATAGACTGATAAGACAACTGCTCTATAATATTATAGATCTTTACATCATGATGAGACTCACAAGACTTGGTACTGTACACAATAAAGTATCACAACGTCTTTACTTGTGCCGTTATGTTAACCACAAAACAATATCTTAAACAATGACGAATACAATTGACTTGCAAACATCATCCTATTTCATTACGAAAGTCACGTTGTCAGTCACTATAATGCATATACTGATTCTTACTGTCAAAAACCAACCACATGTTTTTTCTTGAGCAATCTTTCCCGAAAAGCCCCCTAATTGTGGTTGTGTTTCATTTGATCAATCTCTGGTACCTGTTATCAGATTGCTGATACTGCCTCCGAATCAATTGTATTCGTGTATGTTGTAATGTATGGTGTAACCCATTCTTGACAGTGACTGATAGAAAAAGTACAACCACCCTGCTGATCAACTATTGAAACTTAATTCTGATTGGCTGCAACCAAGAGCTTTCCATTAGGACTGTTTCAATTTTAGATATTAGGTTTCCAACATTTGAAAAAGCTGATATTGGTCGTATTTAAGTGAGTGAGTGAGTGAGTATGGTTTTACGCCGCTTTTAGCAACATTCGAGTAATATCACAGCGGGGGACACCAGAAATGGGCCTCACACAATGTACCCATGTCGGGAATTGAACCCGGGTCTTCGGCGTGACAAGTGAACGCTTTAACCACTAGGCTACCCGACCGCCTCTCGTATTTAAGTCTCAAGGGATATGTTCCATCAGTATAGTGCAACTAATTGATTTTGACAGTCTGAATGATGTTCGTCATGACTGACGCCATGGAGAAATTATATTGCGTGTTTTCTACTTAGATTGCGTGAAATACTCCGGTTTTCTGCGTCAGGGCAAACCCAGGTTTTGACTACCCAAAACTACTCATGATCTCCTTCTTATTTTGTTCAGTATAAATGACAGTATGTGGTGCTTTGTGTACTGCAAGGATAAAAATAAGTGTTATGTTCTGATTAAAGAAATTGTTTATTATTTATGTATTATCTGAAATAATGACACAAAAAAATAAAAGTAAAAAATGTGCTATTATGTGAGTTGCTGGAATTTGTATGTGGATCGTGAAATTAATGTGAAAAATGTCCCCGACACATTTCTATGTACACATTCTGAACCGGTTCATCACTTCATGGGGGGCACGGGGGCCCAGTCGTCCAAGGTGCCGCAATTTGCTGTGCAGAGTTGCGTCCCTTGGGGACACAAGAAACCTATGGTGTTGGTTCGAATCTCAGTTCACCCGATTATCACTTGGGGCTTTCCTCCCACATTAAGCTGACACGCCATGATATAACTGGAATACTGTTAAAAGCAGCGTTAAACCCAACTCACTCTAGTGTACCCCCGCTGGAATGTTCCTAAAGGCAGCATAACCCTCACATTCACTCAAATCTGCACCAGACTGATTTGGTCACCAACTCCCACAACAAACATCCTGTAGTATTGCACGATTACTTTTATTTTATTGCATTACAAATTGGTCATATGCTTTAATGGGTTGGATCAAGTTCAAACAATTACAAAATGAGACAACGTGCCGATATAATATGTATTAAACATATCAGATCTGGCCTCAGACACGGATACCGTATTCGACATAATAAGCGCCAAGGGCGCTCTCAAAATTAGAAATATGGGGGCTTTTATTAGAATATTATTTTGGTGAAAAAAAGAGAGTTGAAAGATAAATTTCGTTGTTTATGCTGACAGCCTGAAATGTTTATATGCGACAGATATATTTTTCCAGAATTTAATTGCCCATATTTAAGGTGCATATAACACACAAGTGCGTATTATATGCGAATAAATAAGTCTTGTGTACATTAATCAATCGGAAGGGGTGCTTATTGGGATTGTTCACTAGCCAATATATTAGCAAATATCGCCGTGGGCGCTTATTACGTCGAATACGGTATCTATGTTGACATGAACAGAACAAATAACAAAGTTGTTCAGACAATGAAGATGATACAACTGCTAATAGTCAAGAAATATCCAATGTGTACAAGTGAGGTAACTTGACAACAGTAGAAATTATACACCACGGGATGATAAACAATCAAATATAAACTTACTTCTGACCTAGTGGTCAAGTTTGCTGGCAATTTAGCATGTTGAACTGTATCCTCTGAGGGACCAGTTCAAAAGTCTTCAGGAAGGTCATGATACGCATCACTTTACATAGTTCACGATATGTATATTTTCCTCAAATCTCATGGAAACTTCTTGACGAAAAATATTTCAGAGTAGGTTCAAAGGGAAAGACTAGCTGTACACACATGTTCGTAGTGGCTTTTTTTAGTAGTGAACTTCAAACGCTAATTACAACACATTTTGAAGTATTTGACTGACAAAAGTGCTTTGAGGTCATATTTGAGAAGTAAATAATTTATTTTAGCAAGTGTATTGTCTTGTAGCGATACAGTAAAAAATGTATCATACATTGGCACATGAAAACTCATGCTACACCGATGTCTCATTTCGCCCCTAGTAGTGAGTGAGTATTGTTTTACGCCGCTTTTAGCAATATTCCAGCAATATCACGGCGGGGGGCACCAGAAATGGGCTTCCCACATTGTACCCATGTCAGCAATCGAACCAGGTCTTCAGCATGACGAGCGAACACTTTAACCACTAGGCTACCCGACCGCCCCTAGAAAGTCCAAGTACAGTGCCCCACAAAGACTAAACTCAGGAATTCAACATTTTCAGAAGTAAGTTTCTCTAGGGGTAGGCATGCATTAAGTTTTTCATCAGACATTGAACTGGTCACAAACACAGGGTTAATATAAAACATCACAAAAAGAATTTGAATTTTAACATGCATAATGCTTTTGCAAAATCTATGAATTCTAGAAAATATGATTATGTCCAACATGACATCAGTGAGGTGGAGTAGCTTGCCAAACTCAATGGATTCTTCTGTGTGCGCAACATGGTCATTGGACGATCATCTGCAGTTGCCATGGAAATGGAACGGGATTTTAAAGTGTGAAATAGACTGGCAGTATGGTTATAGTACACCTAGTGGTATGTGGACATACCATCCACGGTACCATTTAGCTGCACCAAGATCAGAATGAGACGAGAAATGAAATGTTGGCTTTCCAAATTAGTCCAGTCCTAAATTAATATGGATCACAAAATAATGACTCTCAGAACAGTTATTTTTCATTGTGACCTTACAAAAATCACAACTGATTAATTTGGTGTAACCTTATAAAAAATTTTTTAAAGACTCCATACGTAAATATGAACCAATGAAAGGTCATAGAAAAAACCATTATTTAAGCAGGGTTTCAGATCAGCTAATATTTAATGACCAATGTCTTGAAGACTGTTTTCTATTTTGGTAATGATACAAGAATGTCCAGTCAAACATTTGTTAAACTCGTGTTTTAAGACATCAAGTTTTACTTTGATTTCAAGGGAGGTCACTCTAACTGTCCCTAATCAAACATTTGCTAACATCATGTTTTAAGACATCAAGTTTCACTATGATTTCAAGGGAGGTCACTCTAACTGTCCCTAATCAAACTTGAGTTAAATGCTGACTTGGCTCCAGATTCGTTCATATATATTTAGGTCTGGACATAATTAGCAACATGTGTAACAAACTGACAAACAGAATTACAGCCTCGTCTTCAGTTTTTAACAATTTCATCCAAGAATCAAAACATGTTCCAAGATACATCAGATGACTCTTGGAGAGTACATTCCGACTTTTCCGTTGAACATGATTACAAAAATTACACATTTTCTACAGAATCAAAATCTCAGATTTTAACTTCTACTTCAAACTAAAAAAATTCTTTGTGAAATGACTTCAACAGTAACAACAACCTGAAATACAACGTATATACATCTGTAAATCTGATATTCATTTTCAAGTTCAATGAACAATTAATTTTGATTGCTGACAAACACTTTCAGCTACAAAACCTTTTACACTGACCACATAAAATGATCAAAATATACTGTACCTTGGAATACTCACAATACTCTACTCTACAATTTGTATGTTTGGTCCCAAATATGACTTAACTATACAACAATTGGGTACAACAGAGCCGCTCACACGTTCTACTGTAGTAAACAACACCTTCACAAATATTGGTTGGTTGGTTGGTTTGTTGTTTAACGCCGCACTCACGAATATTCCAGCTATATGACGGTGGTCTGTAAATAATCGAGTCTGGGCCAGACAATCCAGTGATTAATATCATGAGCATCAATCCATGTAATTGGGATCAATGACATGCATCAACCAAGTCAGCGAGCCTGACAACCCGATCCCATTAGTCGCCTTTTACGACAAGCATAGTCACCTTTTACGGCAAGCATGGGTTCCTGAAGACCTATTCTACTATTGAATGGAAACTCCTGCAAATAGGATCCTTAACACATCTTGTCCAAGATTTATAAAACAAAATGGCTTTGTGCAGAAACAATGAAAATCAGGCACCAAGTTACCCTGCACTTCCATAGATGGTTAACATAAAAAGTCTGAGGTATGATTCAGTCATGAGGCAGAGTTGTACAGGATTTACAAGTTCCACAATTAACTGTGCAGTCTCACTGTCACACCAACAGGGTGACCATCTTCCCAAGGCAAGGGAGTTAACTGACTGTAAAAGTCCAGTTAACACCCTAGCCGAACTAGGCTGGAACTTCTGGGCTTGATCGTAGTGCCACCATTGGCTATTTCGAGTTATATCCCTTCTATTGACCAATCAGATTCCACATCTTATATCGCTTGCATTTGCTTCAAACAAAATAGTGGTGCTAATTAAGGACGATCTGATAATCAAGATCCAAATTGTAATATAAGGGTCTTACTTCGCAAAGTCCATAAAAAAACACATTATAAAAACATTAAAAGATTTGTAAAGTGTCTGTTGACGCCAAGTTGCAGGGGGAAACATGCTTTGCAAATCCTGCAATCAATCAAAAACTGCATGGCATCTTAAGATCCGGATGTCCCCTTCGTAACATAATTTTGAATGGATAGTGCACAGACTTGTTAGTCCAGCCAAAATTCAGGCCAAGTTCGGCAAGGGTGGAAACTGGACTTTTATGGTCGGTTAACTCCCTTGAATAGGGAAGAGGCTGGGTTGCAGACTTTGCAGGCATTGTGACCACCATTCAAATCCACAGACTGAAGCCACAGTGACCACCAAATCCACAAAATTCAGCCGCAGTGATCAACAAATCCACAGACTGCAGCCACAGTGACCAACAAATCCACAAAATGCAGCCACAGTGACCAACAAATCCACAGACTGCAGCCACAGTGACCAACAAATCCACAGACTGCAGCCACAGTGACCAACAAATCCACAGACTGAAGCCACAGTGACCAACAAATCCACAGACTGCCGCCACAGTGACCAAGAAATCCACAGACTGCCGCCACAGTGACCAACAAATCCACAGACTGCCGCCACAGTGACCAACAAATCCACAGACTGCAGCCACAGTGACCAACAAATCCACACCTTGCAGCCACAGTGACCAACAAATCCACAGACTGCAGCCACAGTGACCAACAAATCCACAGACTGCAGCCACAGTGACCAACAAATACACAGACTGCAGCCACAGTGACCAACAAATCCACAGACTGAAGCCATAGTGACCAACAAATCCACAGACTGCAGCCACAGTGACCAACAAATCCACAGACTGAAGCCATAGTGACCAACAAATCCACAGACTGCAGCCACAGTGACCAACAAATCCACAGACTGCAGCCACAGTGACCAACAAATACACAGACTGCAGCCACAGTGACCAACAAATCCACAGACTGAAGCCATAGTGACCAACAAATCCACAGACTGCAGCCAGTGACCAACAAATCCACAGACTGCAGCCACAGTGACTACCATCTGTAAACTGTAATTGTGACTGTTGAGGGGCGGAAGAAGGTATTTTAAGCCGCAGTCACTAATTATCCCAACTCCTAACCACTAGGCTACCCACATGCCCAACACCACTTTAAACAGTATTCCAGTCATATCATGGCGTGTCAGCTTTTGTTTGGGGAAAGCCCAAAGTGGTACAAGTCTTAGAGGTTTACCACTTTGGTGAAACCCACCAGCACAGGTAAGGTGCTGATTAACAGAGAATCATAATCAGTGTGAATCTCTGATTGCAACCTACGATTAGCAGACTCTGGCACACCTAAGGGACATAACTCTGCTCCTTAAACTTGTCTACCTGTGCCCACTCCCGACATATTTATTCACATGTAATGGTTGATCTTCACCTTAAAGTAGATATGATAATTATCAATGTTTAATATAAAAAGACACTTGTTACCTAAGGGAGAGGTAGGGGTTTCCAGCGGGTGCAACACGACATATTTCCGAAGATAGAGAACATTACAAAATCTGGGTTATCTCCCTTCAGGCTCCATGTGGCAAGAATTAAGTATGAATGAATAAGAATATTGCTTAATGATGCATTGTCAATTCACCACTTTGCAACAAAAATATACGAGGACATACAATTCTATGTTATTTCACAGCTATTATGGACAACGAATATATGTTATTGAATTCAGAGTTCCTCTGTGTTGTTTAATGCCGCACTCAGCAATATTCCAGCTATATGACGGCGGTCTGTAAATAATCAAGTCTGGACCAGACAATCCAGAGATTAATATCATGAGCATCGATCCACGCAATTGGGATCGACGACATGCGTCAAACTAAGTCAGCGAGCCTGACCACCTGATCCCGCTGCTTGCCTCTTACGACAAGCATAGTCGCCTTTTATGGCAAGCATGGGTTGCTGAAGACCTAACCATCCTGTAATTGTCATGAACATTGCAGTAGGGGTGTAATTCACTGGAAAGGTGAGTATCAAAATACCAACTCAAAATGCACTGTAGCTCACCTGACTAGTGAAGTTACACCTGTATTATACTTCAGCTTGAAAGGCTATTTCTACTAGCCCTTAGAATATCAATAACATTGGGTACACAGACTACCGTTAGTGCAAATCCTGTATCTATGCCTACTCTACACTTGACTCAAAAGCACACCAAATTGACATTGTCTTGCCCTGATATGACAAAATTTGAATATTGAATATCAACGATAACTACCCACATTCATTATAATTCATACAAGTTAAACAGTTTTTGTTTGTTTAACATGGCACCCAGCATTTTTCAAGCCATATGACGGCGGTCTGTTAATAATCGAATCTGAATCACACAATCCAGTGATTGACATCATGAGCATCGATCTACAAAATTGGGATGAGATGACATGCATCAACCAAGTCAGCGAGCCTGACCACCTGAATAGTAGAAGGATCTCAGACGTCACTGAGTATGATCTAGTTAGTCTGGCTGGTGGACACTGAGAATGTTGTATTGAAATGGAAGCAGATTAAACTGAACTGCTGTTATAAGTTTTGCATATCATGAAAATAAGATACTGCAATATTTTGCAAAGTTTCTAACCTGGTCAGATATCCAAATCTCAGGACAATCGGACCTTTTCCTCCAAATGTGTACACTACACAAGTCCATTCGGGCCATACCATTTTTTATTATCTTAAAAATTGAATTAACTAAGTTGAAAGATCAAGTTATTAAGTTAAAACTCTCAATATCATTCAAGTTATTAATATTCAAGATAAACTTAATTTAGAAAATACAACTTCCCAAAGTCTCAATTTCAGCACAGGTTTTCTAAATTCTTTGTACAAACAAAGAGGCATTCGGAGAAGCATATCTGATGTCGATATCTCAAACATCAACATAGACTGACAGTTACAAATGGAGGATAACGTCAGCTCTAGGTGTTGTGGATATTATATACACCTGGTCATTTCTGTACTAGTTCGGACCAATACCAGGCTTTAGTTTAAACATGGATATCCCACTCAAGCTAACTCCGAGGCAACTTGTACTTATCCCAAGCAACAGAAGTGAGTGAGTTGGGTTTAACACCTCTTTACAGTACTCTAGTTATATCACGGTGTGTCAGCTTAATGTGGGAGGAAAGCCCGAAGACATGCTGGTCTTAGACGTTTACCACTTCGGTGAAACCCACGAGCACGGGTATGGCACTGGCAAACCTAGAAACAATCGGGGCGAACCGGGATTCGAACCCACAATCATGTTTCTAGTGTGTCAAAGGGCACAACTCTGCATAGCGAATCGTGGCGCCTTAGACGACTGGGACACCCGTGCCCCCGCCAAGCAACAGGAAGGGTAACAAGTACCACCTTTTAATGTTTAGGTATGACACAGCCAGGGATCAAACCAAGGACGTTCTGCTCTTCAGGCAGATACTTTATCCACAACACCAAGGAGGAGGTCGAGTGATGGCTTTGAAAGTATCGGGATTCAAAGACAAGTGTTAGGAGACATTGTGTTCAATAACAAGTACCAGCATAGAGGTTTTTAAGTGATGGTATGAACCTGCCTCCCCTTGAGAAAGAAGAGCACAGTTCAGAAACATTATGTAAAATCCATATGGCTTCATATACATTCAGTTTATTTGATTTTTTTGAATGCCCTTTACACAAGTATGACATGATACAATGTTCTAAGTGAATCACTTTTGGACCAAATTGCTGAAAATGATAACTAACAAGTAATGACAATGTAACATAATATGCCTCGTAAATACAACACCAAAGGCTTCTGGTAACTAGAGTCACATTCAAATCTGATTACCCATCACCATGGAAACGATCAACACTCAAACAAAAATAAGACCAAGTTCATTTACAAAAGGAGGCCAAGAGATGACAGACAGGTTCTCTATTCTTTTTAACTTGATTCCAAACTTTCTGATGAGTTCATTAACACGCAAGTGAAGAAAACTTCACATCAACAGAATGAGGACAGCTTTAATTTCTTGCAGCCTTAAATAGAAATGTCCCAAGATTCATTTCATTTTTGAGAAAAAGAAACTCTTCTTACAAATAAAATGACCGCTGTATTTACCAGCTTGGGGAAGAAAACGAGCCACTCAAGATTTTTGCTAGTCTCGGACCAATGGACCAACGGACAACTGGCCACGCTATTCCCCATCAGATATGTAATCATTATATTGAAGGAGACCTTATAATTTTTGTTTATTTTCATTCACCCAAAGTTTGGTTCAGAACAAACACAGGAATGGTGTTGTGTCAGTTTCTAACGGCTCAAACAAACAGTTGTCCGAAGTGGGGTCAAGTTTTGGAAATTATTTTCCACCGTGATGATCGTAATCCAGCATGACTGTGAAACTAGACAGGAAGCAGACAATGAATACATTATGAATGCAGATGGTATTTACAATGAATCAAATGGCTGACACTCATGAACAATGACCATCTACATAGCACAGCAATGAGTACATAACCCGCTTCACTTAGGTGCACTAGTTTTAAAATATTGAATATATTTGATTTATTGCAACAGTATCTGTACAGAGTTAAAACAAGGGAAATCCATCTCGCACAGGGACTGATTTGTGTATCCTATCCAAACACTCACCCCAACTTTAGCCAATGAGAGGTAGACACCATTGGTTAAATCTAGCTAGTCCACAGCTATCAGACAAGTAGTTGTGTAAAATAACTAGAACATTTAAAAACAGACCAAGTAGTCTCTGGATTTTCACGTCTTGGGCTAATGGACTAGTCTTTATCACTGTGAATGTTATTTCAATAACTTGCAAATTATATCTGCATTAGATTTGGATGTTCGCCGTCATAATGTTCACATTTCTTGTACGCCAAATACTAACAGTCAAAAAGGCTGACCTAACATTTATGGTGCCATAGGTCCGAAATAAAAATCCACAAGACCTTGAACAGATACCATATTCAACGTAATGAGCGCCCTGCTCTGCGCCCACGGTGATATCTGCTGATAACAAAATTTATGATCTTTCAACTATTTTTTTTTCCACCAAAATAATATTCTAATAAGAGACCCCTATTTCTAGTTTTGAGATTGCACCGGGCGCTTATTACGTCGAATACGGTATTTGTAATTCCAGGAACTAGGACTGTAGAGAGTTACTGAACTTGTGAAGTCTCAGGGATTGTGAATTTGTAACTACTTCATGTCTGAAGGTATCCTGGCATAACTATTCAAAATACATTAAGGGACATTGCAAAGTGGGAGAATGGTACAATGTACATCTTTCTCTCATGGTTTTGTTTGATATTGCTTAAAGAAAAGATCCATTTTCACAAAGATAGTTTCATTCTCATGGCTGTGGAAATGTTCCTTGGAAACGGGTACCAGAAAAAAAAAATACTTGTGTTTCATTACTGCACTCGATGAAAGGAACTGATTTATCTTGCACCAGGTGCACCAGGTGTTGACATGAAATGCTGGTTGCACCAGACAAAACCAGGTTGCACCCTGGTCCCATAAATTTATCGAAGTTGAAACGGATGCATACACTTGTCTAAATAAGACGATCTCAGATCTCTGATGACCGTGTCATGAATTACACATAACACAGAGATTAGTGATAAATAAATACTTGTACTTTGAATAAAGCCTAGAGGTATTGAGTGTGTTCAAAGATCGAAGTTGTGTGGTCAAGTAATGGTAAGTATATATGTCGACCTAAATACTAATTGCATTCATCAAAAATAGGTTGCACTGGTGCAAGTTTTATACTGTTAAATCGAGCCAGGCATCATGTTGAGACTTTAAGTATGGTGTCACTTTTAGCATTATCACAGTCATTCAAACCAAGAATCTGCCCACGTCGAGAACTGGTTCTTGGTCTTAGGTGCGACCATCCAATGCATTAACCACCACTAGTCTAGACCACCACACCACCAGTTCTTGAGAAAGGCTGGTTCAGTTTCAAATTAACCACATCACCAGTTCTTGAGAGAGGCTGGTTCAGTTTCAAATTACAAACAGGATTGAAAACAATCAAGTTCTAGTGGGTCGTCAGGTTATAAGAAACACATGTATTTTGTTTTGGCCCAACCCTCACGCAATTGTTGATTTGTTCTTTCGAACGTTATTTTAGTGAAGCTGTTTCTTCACAACCTTAAAGACAAGGCTATTGATACATGTTGCCTCACAGTCAATGGTAGAACGTGAACCATTTTGGAATGAAGTCATCAAATTGATAATGCAATAACACCTACTGCTGACACTTCGAAACAATTCGTTTGAGGGACAGCTCAGAAATATTTCATTGTCAGTGGATGCAAAAACATGTTCAAATTTGTATAATCATACTTAGATTTTTCAAAGTAAGTATTTCAAAACTTGTTAAAAATATTAACAAAGTTTCCTAAAAATACAAGATCATAAAAATGGTTGTCATATACTACTAAGTATAGTACAAATTATTAGACATGCTTCAAATTTGTTCTGTTGCCATGAGTAGTTCTGAGTGGAGAATTTAGCCTGTCTGGGACATCTTCTACAGAAGTGGGTGCCGTTGTACAAAACAACCTCAGTGCTACGACTGTCGTAAATCTATGTTAAGGTATGGGAGTTACGATCACCTCAGAGCTAAGATTGCTTTGTACAACGGCACCCTGGTTCATATGAAATTCTGCAATGTCGGCAACTCTCTGCTCACTGAGTAAACAGGTCAAGGTGTATACGTGGGGAATCTCTCAATTCTTTTCTGATCTTCTTCCGTGTCACATCTTGCGATGACGATTGAGTGTGCGTAGCCACAGGCAATGGCGTGGACGTGAACACCGTCCAATAGCTTGACTTCCTGAGGTGTAGTCGAGGATCTCATCTTGTTCTCACCGTAACCCTGGAAAACACATGTTTGATATACAACCTTTGATTAAGGTGAGGTGAAATGGGGTTTAACGTCGCATCCAATATTACTGCACTTATATAGCGACTTGCATGCACGTGTATGAGTGTGTGTGGCTGTTTGTACTAGTCTGGAATAATGCCGATTAATAGTGCCAGCCCACTGAGATACCGTGCCGCAGTTTAACATCAATACCCAACTCAGACACAGTATACGGACTCCGAGCCCACCAGTCCTTGTCAAGCCCCATCAAACCCCGGACCTTCCGCTCTCTGGGCGGACGCTCTACCACTAGACCACTGAAGCGGTTACCTTTGTTTAAAACCACTGAGGTGTACAGGACTTTGTGGAGTATTTCTGCATGGGTCAGTACAAGTGGGGGCAGAGCAAAAACTTATGTGTCTTAAGACTCTGGTGACACCCAAGAAACACATGTACGTAGACATATCTGGTGACATCAGAAAACCAGGAGTCAATTAATAACTGATCAACTTCTCTGATAGAGGGGGGGAATTATGTTTTGTTTGTTTGTTGTTTAATATCATGAGCATCAATCCATGCAATTGGGATCGATGGCATGCCTCAACCAAGTCAGCGAGCCTGACCACCTGATCCCATTGGTCGCCTCTTACGACAAGCATAGTCGCCTTTTATGACAATCATGGGTTGCTGAAGAGCTATTCCACCCGGGTACTATGTAGTATGTGTGAAGCCCGCTGTGATGTTGCTGGAATACTGCGAAAAGCGGCATACATAACTGTTCACTCACTTTAATAATTGACTAATAGTACCAGCTTAGCTATTACTTACGAGTTCACCAAAGGTTGGACTTGGGCCCCAGCTAATGACACTCTCATCTGCAGACAGCACTATACTGCGATTACTGAATAAAGAATATAGACATTAGTAAATAATATTCCAGTTTTAAACTAACATGTGATCATTTATGGATGCACAAATGACGACCTACTTCCATTAATCGTTTTCAGCCATTCACGGATATGTTAACAAAGCAGTGTGGTGATTGGGTAATGTTCCTCTTTGTAACACCAGCTGCGATTGGACGATGATGATGCTGTCATAAATAGGATCGTAGCGACCTCTCTTTGGCTGATTTCATCATTGCCTCATTGATTCCTCACTGATTAACGCCAGATGTTTAGATATAGAAGTATTTTGGTACCATTGGAGATTGCATTTAATGAGTATCGGTCATACATTACACACCTTAAACTAGAACTATCGGCTTAGTGCTAATCTACCGGATTTGTTTCACCCAAATAATGGTTGCATTACAAAATCATTTTTTCCTTCTATGCAAAGAAGGGATGTTTGTTTGAAAACTATATCAAATAGAAACACCTTTCTCAGGGCCAAGCTAAGATTAAAGTTATATTTGCGTGCTGCCTAACGCCACACCCATCAATTTCCAGCTATGATGGCGGTTTGTAAATAAGTATGGACCAGCCAATCCAGTGATTGACACAGTAATCAATGATCCACGCTGTTGGGGTACCATGACACCCTATCAAATAAGTCATAACCGTCTGACCCACCAATACATTTGGATGCCTCGTACAACCAGAATAGGGACCTAGTTTATATCGGAAACCCCAGAGTTAAGATCAAAGAAGCATAACACAGACTTACCAACAGCCCACACTTCGTATTTTCCAGCCTGTCAGATCGTGTACAAGTTTAGGATACATTGCTGCCTCTCCTGTTGTCTTCGTCTGGCCCCATAAATACAGTGCACCTGCAAACATACACTCTGGCTGTGAACATTCAGCAGTTTCAACCTGTGATTTTAACTGGCATTCAATATTTGTTTGTTTTTGTGTTGATTAAAGCCGCACTCGGCAATATTCCAGCTATATGCAGCGGTATGTAAATAATAAGTCTGGAACAGACAGTCCAGTAATTGACATCATGAGTATCAATCTATGCAATTGGGATACGACGACATGCATCAACCAAGTCAGCAAGCCTTGACCACCTGATCCTGCTAGTCGCTTCTTACGACAAGCATAGGTTGCTGCAACCCTGCAACTGCAGCTAACATCTACTGGAAATGATGTCAAGTGAACATCTTGTGAACATACTGCTGCAATAAATTCATATATTTGAATGCTGGGGGTTTAATGTCGCTTCCAAGACTATTGCACTTATATCATGGCGTGCATGCAAGTGTGTGGCTGCTTGTACTAATTCGGACAAATGCTGATATTATAGTGCTAGCTCACTGAGATACCATGCCGCAGTATTACATGAACACCCCACTCAGCCACAGTATACTGACTCCGGGCCAACCAGACCTTGTTTAAGGCCCTTAATGTGGAGAGTAAGGGTAACAACAAGTACCATCTCTTTACCGTCATTTGATATGACGAGGACGGGGATCAAACTTTGGACCTTCCGCTCTACACAAGACAACGGAGGCGGTCCTATGTGAGGTGTCTTCACAAACAGGAAACATGTGACAGTAGGCAGCAACACTTCTGAGGGATTAAGTATTGTATGAGAGTCAGTCAATCACTCAAAATAGCGAGCGAGTGAGTATGGTTTTACGCCGCTTTTAGCAATATTCCAGCAATATCACGGCAGGGGACACCAGAAATGGGCTTCACACATTGTACCCATGTTGGGAATCGAACCGGGGTCTTCGGCGTGACGAGCGAACGCTTTAACCACTAGGCTACCCGACCGCCCCTCACTCAAAATAAGCGAGTACGGGTATGGTGCCGACAAACCTAGAAACATTATAGGGGCGAACTGGGACCAGACCACAGAGTCCGTCATTTCCAACTGTGCTACTGGCGTTCACCCAAACCTAGAACCTCTGTCCTGTACATACCTAGTTCACTGACTGCCATGCTGTATGTTGACCCTGCGTAAATTTGTGACGCACCCCTGTTGGGACCTTCAAAGAATTTCAGAAGTCTTGGTACCAGATCATCCTTCGGTTCCGCATGACCTAACCTCCCATATCCTCCAAAACCCCATGTGAATATTCTTTTCCTTGTATCGAGGACTAACTGTCAACAAAAGACCGGGAATGTCATAAAACAATACATCATGATATACAAACTACATACAGGCACATGTTGGTTGGTTGGTTTGTTGTTGAACAGCGCACTCAACAATATTCCAGCTATATGACGGCGGTCTGTAAATAATCGAGTCTGGACCAGACAATCAGGTGAATAATATCATGAGAATTGATCCACGCAATTGGGATACGATGACATGCATCAACCAAGTCAGCGACCCTGACCACCCAATCCCGTTAGTCGCCTTTTACGGCAAGCATAGTCACCTTTTACGGCAAGCATAGTCGCCTGTTACGGCAAGCATGGGTTGCTTGAGACCCATTCTACCCTGGATCTTCAAGGGTGCATTCAAAAGGGACTTACACAGGAGATATCGCAACAATGAAATTTGTGACACCATGATTTGTAGACTATTGGACCTCATTGGTTAACCATAACACATGAAATGACATCAGTAATCTGCCACAGAAGCAGCTTGGACTATTCTGGACTAATGCCGGTTTGATAGTGCTAGAGAAACCATAACGCAGTTTAACATGAATACCCAACTCAGACACGGTATACTGACCCCAAGCAGACCAGTCTAACATGGATACCCTAGTTCAGACTAATGCCGGTTTAATTGTGCCAGCCCACTGAGACAGCATGTCGCAGTTTAACAAGGAACATGAATACCCTACTCTGGAGTGAGTGAGTGAGTGAGTGAGTGAGTGAGTGAGTGAGTGAGTGAGTGAGTGAGTGAGTGAGTGAGTGAGTGAGTGAGTGAGTGAGTGAGTGAGTGAGTGGTTTTGGTTTGTTGTTTTACGCCGCACTCAGCAATATTCCATATGACGGCGCCTGTAAATAATCGAGTGATTGACAACATGAGCATCGACCCACTCAATTGGGACCGATGGCATGCATCAACCAAGTCAGCGAGCCTGACCACTCGATCCCGTTAGTTGCCCTTTACGACAAGCATAGAGGCCTTTTATGGCAAGCATGGGTTGCTGAAGACCTATTCTACGCCGGATCTTCGCGGGTCTGTGAGTGAGTGAGTGAGTGTAGTTTTACGCCACTTTTAGCAATATTCCAGCAATATCACAGCGGGGAGAAACCAGAAATGGGCTTCACTCATTGTACCCATGTCAGGAATCGAACAGAGGTCTACAGTATGCCTTGCGGATGCTTTAACCACTAGGCTACCCCACCACCCCAAATGGGGATTGAATCCGACGACCTTCTGCTCTACGGCCAGAAGCTCTATTCTCTGGACCCTGAAGGTCAGCAACCATAAGGCAGAAGTATTTGTGCCAGCAACCTACCGCATGATTGACTCCGCAGGCGATGTCTCGTACATCTACATCTGATACAGGAACAACATGGCCGTCTCGTGTCTTCTCGATGAACACGACCACTTTTCTAGGTACCAGCTCACACTTGAATGACAATTTGTTACTTGTGACGAAAAATTTACCATCTGAATTATGACCTAGAAGGAGAGGACATAACAAATTTCAGAGCATGATGAATATGGCATCTTTTTGTGCTGTTGCAAACTTCCCACTTGAAGATTTACAGTTAACTGCCCGCGATATATGTCTCAGAATGTCTTGAGAATGGACGTAAGTAAGCAGTCCATGTGACATTTTTAACTCAACGCTGATTAATTCAAACAAGAAAATCCCTTTCCATAATGTGCATGTATACAGCTGGCGTTGTTTGTTTGTTGTTTAACGCCGCACTCAGCAATATTCCAGCTATTTGACGGCGGTCTGTAAATAATCGAGTCTGGACCAGACAATCCAGTGATTTATATCATGAATATCGATCTACGCAATTGGGATATGATGACATGCATCAACCAAGACAGCGAGCCTGACCACCCAATCCCGTCGGTCACCTCTTACGACAAACATGGGTTGCTGAAGACCTATTCTACCCCAGACCTTCACGGGTTGCATTTATACAACAAACACATAATTATTATATTTGTTGGTGGCAGTGTTTGAAATAAGCGTTTGCCTGTAGGCCTCTGGCAGGCAGATCTCATGTTGGGCTCGTAGCTTCAAATTTGTAAGGGTCCTTAAGGCCCTGCAGTAAATTTACATTTCGATTTATTTGTCATAATAAACTGCAGTTGTTTAAATGATGGGTTTAGTCAGGGCCTGCAGCTTCTCAAGTCTGTGGGTCCTGATGGCAGCTAGGCAATTTATTTTATTTCCAGTGGTGGTACAGTGATCACTCTTGCACCCTATTTTGATGCCTCGGTCCCCTACAATTTATTACAACGAATTTCCAGAACTCGCATATATTTAAACTAGGGCTGGGACGGGTAACTTGGGTGCCCGGCTCGGGTGGGTACTGAGTAGGACCTGGGTATCCACAGGACAACGCGGACCCGTGGTTAGTCATGTGATATATTGTTTAATGACAAAAATATCTAGAACTCTATAGATCCACGACAAGTCACCAATGTTTGCATTTCTTTCTGACTGTGCACCCATTCCTTCTGGTTGAATAAAGATATAACCTGAGTCAAATTCAGTGTCTGCATGACCAGATTGTTTGATACATGTATCTAAATACGTTTTGCAAGGGCTTTAGTAAAATATTGCTAATCGGAGTGAGTGAGTGAGTTGGGTTTACGCCACTTTTAACAGTATTCCAGTTATATTACGGCGTGTCAGCTTAATGAGAGAGGAGAGCCCGAAGTGATGCAGGTCTCAGACGTTTACCACTTCAGTGAAATCCACGAGCACGGGTATGGTGCTGACAAACCTAGAATTGAGTGAGTGAGTTGGGTTTAATGCCACTTTTAACAGTATTTCAGTTATATCACAGCGTGTCAGCTTAATGTGAGAGGAAAGCCCGAAGTGATGCAGGTCTCAGACGTTTACCACTTCAGTGAAACCCACGAGCACGAGTATGGTGCTGACAAACCTAGAACCATAATCGGGGCAAAACGGGATTCGAACCCACAATCATAGGTTTCTGGCGTGTCCAGGGACACAACTCTGCACAGCAAATCGCGGCGCCTTAGACGATTGGGCCACCTCCTAATCGGACATTTGTACCTATCTCTTGAGACCTACAGTGGGTACCCGGATAGGGGAGTAAATTTGGACTCGTCCCCGCCCTAATTTAAACCAATGCCAGATGACAGTAGTGTTTAAATCTACCCACCCAGCTGCCCGTACTCTGGACATCCGAAGGAGTAGAGGTTTCCATTGATGTCTGATATCATGCTGAACTCTGCTCCACACGCGACCTTCCTGATTGGAGGACCTTTGAACTGGATCTGCAACAACAATATTCAACAGTGATATTGTTTGTAGTTTGACACACCAGTCAGCGATATTCAAGTAAATCATGGTCTGTAAATAATCATATCTCGACCAGGCAATGTTTAGCTACTCGTCTGATGCCCACATTTGGTAAAAGTCTGTTCGATCTTGACAGCTCAAGCAATAATAGTCTATATCAGGGTTAGACTAAACTCAAAAGCTTTGCTTGCCCGGGTTAGGATAAAATGCCATCATCAGGTTGAAACAATGGCGAGATAAGGAAATTTGTTCTCGCCCGCAGGAATTTGTACTAGCCCTGGGCTAGCAGGCTAGTGTTAAGCTCTAAACCTCCATACAAAAACACTAACATCTACTGACAATGATGTAGAGAGTCTTGGGGCTAATAGACTTTTTGACTACTAGAAGACAGACTGTTTGATTATTGAATGTTAATAACACGTCCCAAATGTGTAGATGTTCCTGATGAGAATCATTAGATTGTCTGGTCCAGATTTGGTTATATACAGATACTTGTTCCTAACAGTAATATAATCCAAAACTGAATAATACACTACCAGGGGAAGCAGAGTTTGTCAATTGATACACTGGGGTTTTCCATTTGTTTTGATGCAATAAAAACAAAAATCAATAAAGAAAAAACAAAAACCCAAATGCATGGATGTAAAAAGCTAACCACTTGATAACAAGTACTGAGTGATTGCGTGAGTTCAGGATAACGCAGCTTTGCACAGTCTCCATTGCATCAGCCTAATGTGGGAGGAAAGCCTGAAGTGATGCAGACATTTACCACTCTGATGAAACCCACATGTACAGGTATGTTGCTGACAAACCTACAAACATATTTGGGGAAAACTGGGATTTGAACCCGCAATTCTGGCTTGAGTTCTGGCTTGACCAAGAGACACAACTCTACACAGATCATTGCAGTGCCCCTGACAAGGCCACCTGGGCTCTCTATTCCCTACCCACTCCCCAACAGATGTGAATGTCCCAAGATGAATTTACTACCAAACTGAACCCCACACTGACCAAGACTTACCCTAGTGGGACTGGGAACGGAGGGACTCTGATGGCCGAGGCCAAGCTGACCCATCTTGTTGTCCCCACAGGCGAAGACTCGACCCTTGTCTGCCAACAGAAATTACATTGTTTGTTTGTATGTTTGTTATTTAACATACTCAGCAATATTCCAGCAATATGTTGGCGGTCTGTAAATAATCATTCTGGATCAGACAATCCAGTGATTGACATCATCAGCATCGATCCACGCAATTGGGATACGATGACATGCATCAACCAAGTCAGCGAGCCTGATCACCTGATCCCATTAGTCACCTTTTACGACAAGCATAGTCGCCTTTTACAGAAAGAATGGGTTGCTGAAGACCTATGTTTACATTGAGATTACACTGCAGTGACATTGATAGGTCAGTCACCATCAATATTTCACAGGTTGGCAAAACTGCCAACTTTCACAAATTACAATCAGCATTTCGTTACGATCTTCTGGTCAAGACACCAATAAAGTACAGGTCTTAAGTACAATACAGTTATGCAATTCCGAAAATCAGTTGATACATTTATAGCTTAGTTTCCATTTCGACTACAGCAAGTTGTGATAACATAAGTCGAGTGTCTTGAATGGACAGTTGCAACACTATAGACAGACTTCATATCAGTTGATAAACAAGACATTCGTAGCAGTCAATCTAAGGCTAAATATTTACTGGTCTTTATGAAAATTCAGTCTTTGTGATTATTTCCTTCTACCAATTAAGGCATCTTCCCGAGGCAAGAGAGATAACAGACTTTAAAAGTCCAGTTTCAACCCTTGTCGAACTAGGCTGGAATTACTGGGCTCGATCGTAGCGCCACCAGTGGGTATTACCATTTATGTCCCTTCTAAGTCTCTCCTATGGACCAATCAGATTCCACCTCTCGTATCACTTGTGTTTGGAACCTGGACTTTTATAGTCAGTTAACTTTCTTGCCTCGGGAAGATGGAATTAAGATGGGATATTGTATTTTTGTTGTAAATTCGTAACAATTTTGTAAAAGTCTGGACACAAGGCACCTGTGGGTTTGAATGTACAGAAGGGTCGACTCTTGGACTATGGTATTGGATCAGTTTCACTGATAACTTGTTTGTTTGTTGTTAAATGCCGCACTCAGCAATATTCCAGCTATATGATGGTGGTCTGTAAATAACTGAGTCTGGACCAGACACTCCAGTGATCTATATCATAAGCATCGATCCAGGCAATTGGGATCAATGACATGCATCAACCAAGTCAGCGAGCCTGACCACCCGATCCTGTTAGTCGCCTCCTACAACAATCACTGATAACTAATTGCAGCTGTTGAAACTATCGACTGTCATGCATACAATGGGGCCCACCTGTCAGAAATAGTGTGTGATTCTTCCCCACAGCTGCTGAAATGATGTTGATGTCCCTAAGACACTCCACGATTGTGGGGACGTCCCGCCTCACTGCATCCCCGGTCCCCAGCTGACCCTTCTCATTACGACCTGAAACACAAAAAAAGTCAAGATTACAAAAAATCCTACTTTTATGGATAAGCCTGTTATAATTTTGCAAAAGAAAACATGATTTCAAATTGTTTATTTTGGAAATCTGTTGGTTCGTATTTTTACATCAAATCAACCCTGGCTATAACGTAATCTATTTTAATTTTGCATTGTGCATCTTGTATACTGACCAACACCATTTGTAAAACAATCATCTGGACCCTTTTGTATCAACTTAACTGATGCATTAACATGTCACTAAATCCCAATGTGTCACCAAACCTCCTTTACCATGTCATTAAACCTCCTGTAACATGTCATTAAACCTCCTTTACCATGTCATTAAACCTCCTTTACCATGTCATTCAACCCCTATTAATGTGTCTCAAATCTCAATTATATATATTTTTTAGAATAAAAATATCATTTATACTTTTCCTGACTCATACTTATTGCTAATCTCATCTCATTTCCAAAAGAGTGTGGAAACTTCCTGAACAGTGTTCCCAGATCAGGAAAAAAGCTCGCCCAAAAGCACCCCTCAGCCACCTAGGCGCACAGGAAACACTTGACCAAACCGGTCAACTTGTCTCTCCCGCTTTCTTCAAATGATTATAGTGTAATCTTTAACACAATCGTTGGCGCTCATGCTCTGAATTACATAGTAAAACAGGGGACATGGACTCTCGTTCATTGGTTATGGGACAGTATCCTGAGGTCAAGAAGTCTGCGTGAACGTGGGTGACCCTAGTATTAGGTTCATAATGTAGTAGGGGCGGTCGGGTAGCCAAGTGGTTAAAGCGTTCGCTCGTGAAACCGAAGACCCAGGTTCGGATCCCGACATGGGTACAATATATGAAGCCCATGTATGGTGTCCCCCGCTGGAATATGGCTAAAAGCGGCGTAAATCCAAACTCATTCACTCACTCATAATGTAGTAGGCACTGTCAGTTGCTGTGCGACTACTTATCGTCCAAATTGATGAATTCCCTTGACACCCTCTGTAGCAATATTCCAAAGATAGTGATTTGTGAAGACATTTTCGAATCTCCAAAAGCAACATTCCAAAACCGTCGGGATGGAGCAGTTGCCATGTAAGGCTGGATGGAAGCTGTACCTTTGACTTCGTGTGGGTCTAACCCTGCTGCCTTGTATGCTCTGAGTATCACTGTTCTCATCCAGAAGGAGATGGTTGTTCTAGAGACTTCAGCTGAAGAATTCTTTGATAAAGGAATAAATAGCCTTCTACTTCTGTCTTCTGGAGCTTGCTCTTTGAAGTTATATGCCTCAGGTTCTGACTGGACATTAAGACAAATCGACTGAATCCTCTGATCAAAGAATGGATGAGAGTGGTGGAGCGTGGAATTGTCTGTCTGGTTGGCCTTGCAGCTAGTTCTTGGCGATTAAGTCCCATTTTAGACCGAGATGAGCCTATGCTTGATCCCCGTAGTCAATTGCATGAATCTGACATTCTGGCAGCCGTGGCTAGTGCCAGAGAAACAAGATTTTCTGTGTTAGATGTTCACAGTTAGTTTGTTCTGGAGGTTCAAGGAATTGCTGGCAAGATATATGCTTGACCACTATTTTCAGGTACCATGCTGGGACTCTGAATTTCTGTTGATCTTCAAGTCTGAAAGATCGTAGAAGAGCTTTCAATTCTGTGACATCATAAGCATCGATGCACACAATTGGGATACGAAAACATGCATCAACCAAGTCAGCGAGCCTGACCACTCAATCCCAATAGTCGCCTTTTACTGCAGAGCATGGGTCGGTGGAGACCTATTCCACCCCAGATCTTCACGGGTCCCTCCATTAAATAATGTGCCTGGTGAAAAAGCGTTCTTGGAACTTAGTTTGTATTTTGTGTCATAACTGGTATATGACCAGGGAGGATGAATTTATTTTAAAACCTTGTGAGTAGCACTAATCATTTCATGAGAGTCTGACTGAAAGCATGTGATGATGCACAATTACTGAATTCGACGTAATTAGCGCACATGGCAATATTTACTAATATATTGGCGAGTGAAGAAACCCAATTATCACCCCTTCTGATTGATCAATGTACACAAGACTTATTTAATCGTGTATAATACATGTGTTATATGCATCCTTAATCGTGGGAAATAAAATGGGAAAATATATCTGTCGTTTATAAACATTTCAGGCTGTCAGCATAAGCCCCGAAATTTACGTTTTCACCAAAATAATATTCTAATAAGAGCCCCCATATTTCTAAATTTGAGAGCGCCTGGGCGCTTATTATGCCAAGTTGGAGAAAATGCACAAACAATTCTCACAAGGACAAAATGTTTCTCAGGCTACCATTATTTCTATTAAGTCTCACCATGTCTAAACATCTCGGAATTTTAAAATGAAAAACTTGTATGTGATCCACAAGACACATTAGGTACTAAAATCGCCGCTTGACAGATGACAGGAAAAGTAACATGCTTGTTTCCTGATAGGGAATTGTGTGGAAACTTTAGGGGTATCCTCTATTTAATGGCATGTTAACAAAATTCTTATAGAGTAACATTAGTTGATAGCTTACTTAACTCATTGCACAACCCATTTCAATGCTGCCATCAATGCTGCCAGAGACTCTTGTGTGATAGATGAAGCAACATTCATCAAGGAAAATTTCTGCCCGTAAAACATCTTTGCTACTACATATTATACTCCATTTGAAAGGTGTAATCCTACTGTTTTTACATATAAAGGTTATCACATTATATAAATAATGCATTGACAAACTTAATTAAGTTTGTTGTAAATAAAAAAATAATCAAAGCTAACACATTCATAAAGTCCAGATTTTCGTAAAAATTATGATTTCATAAAACCCACTTACCTATTTCTTTTTTATTTTCATAGTGAGTTAGTGAGTATGATTTTACGCTGCTTTACGCAATATTCCAGCAATATCACAGTGGGGAGAAACCAGAAATGGGCTTCACACATTGTACCCATGTTGGTAATCGAACCCGGGTCTTCGGCGTGACGAGCAAACGCCTTAAACACTAGGCTACCCGACAGCCCCTTTTTATTTTCATGGTTTAGGTAACTGGAAAATTATTTTAAAAAGAATTATGAATAATTTCTGTCATCATTTTCACAATAACAGCGGCTGCCCGCTCAGTAACATGAAGAAATACCTTTGTTTTTCGAAGCTTCATATGAATAACATGTGCGTCGACGACTGCCATGTGACACACCATTAGAAAGCTTATTTTTTCATCTACACGACAGTAACCTTGCCTAGAGTCTTATCGTAGCTGTAAAATACGATTTTATTGGATAAAAATTGGTTTCTAATTGCGCTTTCTTGCCGAAATCTGCTACAAGATTCGTGATTTATCAAATTTGAGCATGTGACCTGAGGCAGCCAATGAAATTACAGTCATGGTATCGTCATGTTGTGTGATGAATTTCAGATTTTGACCAAAGGTTATTGTTAGATCGTGTAATTCTGAGCAGGAAATCGCGATCTTTATAAAAAATATGGAACTTTGTGGATGTATTGTGCTAGGTTATGAGTTGTGACATGATTTTTCATGCATATATTTTGGCATTAAACATGATACATATCGTGTCCGAGCCGAGAAATCTTGGTGACGAAAGCCGAGATGTCAGTTGACTTACATTACACGCGATCAAGCGAAAAGATGGAAATAACTTGAATGTAGGTTTGACAACTTTTGGATATATTATTGCTGATTTCATTAATAACTTTAATATAATTAAAGATTTGCTTGAAACATCTTTATTTTTCTCTTTGACATGTTTGAAGTGGACCCATTGTCAAAGAGTGTGTCCGAGAATTTATTTTCAATAACATTGCGGAAAAGAGTGAATAATTTTTTAATATATCGATAAAAAATGAAATATGCATTCCATTTCAATTTATCAGACATTGTGATATGTGAAAGATTTAATAAATGAATGATATGACAAGTAGGTTCATAAAATTATATACTATTTTGATGTGACTATGGCTTGGCTGGTCTACCGACCGTGGTGTAAGGGGATTCAAGGCTTCTTGGCCAGTACACCGGCCTGCAGTGTTGAAAGGGGTTAATGAATGCGAGCTACAATCACCTTAGCGCTAAGATCGCTTAGTAGAATGGGGGCCTGGAATACCTGTAACGTTTCAAATATTTCTGACTGCAATCCAAACAGAATTGAACAATATTCAAGATGCTATCCTTGCAACTGCAAATACTACAAACTGAAGACTTTCATTTTTATGTCTTCTTTAGTCTCAGTAATTAAGTGTTATTGCTAAGTACTCTATAAAGAATGTAAATGTACTTTTATCAGAGAACGTTTTAGCAACAAAGCATGATGCAGGTGGAATTTCACACAATTTCAAAATCAATTCTAAATTTGAAAAAGATAGTTTCTACCTATATTTTGTTACCATCTTGAGAGAGAATATTTAGTACATTTGCTTGAAGTTGGGGGTCAGATTCCCTGAAAAATAAAACATTTAATTGCAGATTTGCGTGGCAAAGGCCGCCTTCTGACCTTCAATGAAAAAGTAAATATTTTCAACATGTTCAAGAAATATTTTTTTGATAGCTGGACAGGGATGGTGCTCAACTGGTATCCCTTGAGTAGTCACATATCTTGATGAGTAAGCATGCTACATCGTAATACTATGGGTGCATAATTGCATTCAAAACTTACAACATGAACCAAGGTCTTCAAATCAAAATAACTTTAGATTTCAAAATAAGCGTCTGAAAGCGTCTGGTCGAATATAGCAAAAACATCCAATTATCAAACATTGCTCTCAGGGTTGATATTAAATAATTTCAGCATAAAAATGTGGACATCTGAAAAGTAACTAAAAAGTTTATGATCTGAAAACAATATGGCACCATTATTCCGAAGTCCACTTTCTACAGACCGCAAATTTCAGAGGATAACAAAAGTTGACATCTCTAGCCAAATATGCATTTTGAGTAATTTGAGTTTATGGTCAAATCACAAAAGTAAAAACCTAAAATACTGTGAAAAAAAAGAAGAACTTATTGTCCACCAACGCTGAGGTGACCTACTTCCAAAACATGCCAAACAATGCCATTTAGAAAGTGATCAAATTTAACTTAGTTTGGTTTGTTTGATGTTTAACGCCGCACTCAGCAATATTCCACCTATATGACGGCGGTCTGTAAATAATCACGAGCATCGGTCCACTCAATTGGGATACGATGACATGCATCAACCAAGTCAGCGAGCTTGACCCCTGATACCGTTAGTCACCTCTTACGACAAGCATAGTCTCCGTTTAAGGCAAGCATGGGTTGCTAAAGACCTAAACTACCCCGGATTTTCACGGGTCACTTCCTCAGTTAAGCACAGATTTCTTTTTCCGGGGATGAAAACCTGGACCACATCTTAAGGGAGAAACAGTGAGTGAGTGAGTTGGTTTAACGCCGCTTTTAACAGTATTCCAGTTATATCGCGGCGTGTCAGCTTAATGTGGGAGGAAAGCCCGAAGTGATGCAGGTCTCAGACGTTTACCACTTCGTTGAAACCCACGAGCACGGGTATGGTGCTGACAAACCTAGAAACATAATTGGGGCGAACCGGGATTCGAACCCACAATCATAGGTTTCTGGCGTGCCCAAGGGACGCAACTCTGCACAACGAATTGCGGCGCCTTAGACGACTGGGCCACCCGTGCCCCCTAAGGGAGAAACAGGAACAAACAGGTCAGAAACAAAAACTACTTCCAAAATTGTCAGTGCAGTTTCCATGGCTAGTGAAATTTGAAACAGGTTAGTAACTTCAAGCGAGCTAGCCCACCTGGCAAGCAATAGTTTGAGACTATTTCACTCACTGTCAAAAATAACATACACAACACTGTACTGCTCATATGAAAGATTTCATTCTTAACATGCAGCATACTGCTTCAGATGAGCGAGTGAACATCACATTTACTCCCTGAATAACGACTGTTATCTCACCTATTGTGTGGATATAAAAAACTGCATCGTATTAACGCACAAACAGGTTTTTCTGATATCTGAAACTGACCCCATGTGTAGACCTGTCCTTCGGTAGTGATGACGACACAGTGACACCCGGTGCACCCTGACACCACGGTCCGGATTCGGACATCCTTCAGTCCCGCAATACGATGAGGACCCCATAGATTCGGCCCTCCTCGGTTTTTTACTGAAAAATACAAAAATATTTCTAACTCTCAGGATTCATAAAACATATAGAATAAGGGCAAAAGTGAGCGTGGCTCACTAATACCCTCGACCCGCCTAGTTCGTCAGTAGTTTCAAATTAAATAATGGATAGGTCTAGGGTTTGAATAATTCATGAAAAAAATGGAAAATTAAAAAAAAAAAAAATTCTTTTGACTGCACCCCTCCATATGACACAGATTATATGTACTAAGATTGACATGAATCCACTGAATAGTTTAAGAGAAATTGTGCGGCCAAAGTTTTCAGATACGGACGGAACCTTGGTATAACTATATACCCCCCGACCTAAAAGGTTGGGGGTATAATAAAAAGTGAGAACCAAATAAAATATGAGGTGACTATTGTGGCTATTTACACTACTGCAATAGTATCAAGACAGTTGTCAACTAATGCAATAGAATTGTGGTAGTATACTGGAGTGAGTGAGTGAGTTGGATTTAACGCCTCTTTTAACAGTATTCCAGTTATATCACGGCGTGTCAGCTTAATGTGAGAGGAAAGCCCGAAGTGATGCAGGTCTTAGACCGTTTACCACTTCGGTGAAACCCACAACATTGAATCCGCGTATTGGGGTGCTCAGAAAAGGCAGAAGGACCGCAAGTGGCTTTTTACTTTCATGGAGTGAGGGACTGATTATTCCAGCAATATCATGACAGGGGACACCAGGAATGGGCTTCACACATTGTACCCATGTCGGGAATCCAACCTGGGTCTACGTGGTGACGAGCGAACGCTTTAACCACTAGGCTAACCAATAGCCCCAACTTTCATTTCGAAGTACGCAGGACTTTGTACTAGGGTCGAGCGAGTCTGACCACCTGATCCCATTTGTCGCCATTTGTTTCCTCTTGCGACAAACATAGTCTCCTTTTACAGTAAGTATGGCTTGCTGAAGACCTATTCTACCCCGGATCTTTACTGGTCACAGACTAATGTAAAAAAGTGCGCCTGGCATATGTTTTTTTATGGGAAAGTAGCATGTTTAACATCATAAACGATGTTGTGTGTAAACATGGTTGAAGAATATATGTCTTAGATAATTATTTTGGGGGGTGTTATTGACAAAGGAAGAGTGTTGCCAGTTAAAACAATAAAAGCAATATGTTCACGAATATGAATATGATAACGGTGCTGACAAACCTAAAAACATAAGCGCTAAGACTGCTATGTGGAATAAGACACCAATGACCTAAGAGCCAAAGTAGAGACTGATCCACCATGACAGAGACGTTTGCCTGTTTCTCACCTCCTTTAGGTAGCTGGCTCCTCCCGATCAAGTCCCAGTTGGTACCGCCACTAAACAACACTTCCCCACTCAGCATGGAGCCCTCCAGAGTCTGTAACAGATATCACATGGTTCAACCACTAACAACTTAAAAGGGTAAATAGAGATACATGACTTCTCCAGAGCTACAGATAAGCAGCGTATTTGCGTAAAATATCCCCCCCCCCCCCCCCCATATTTAAAACCCTATTACTTTTAATTAACATGTGTACAGAAACGCATGCACGCTAATTTCGGAGACACAATTAAGAGCTATATTATTTCCTGAGTCAAGCCTATATATTTAGAACAGTATATATATATATATATACATCATAAAAAATTATTTGATTTTTTTAAATCTTAAAATGTTCAATAACTTTGGGAAAAAACCAATAGAGTGATAAATAGATGAGTGAAAATATATTGGTTACCCAATGAAAAGTGTAATTACCAAATTAAAATCGAAACCCTCGAGTAAAAACTCAATTGCTCAAAAAGTTATCTGGAGCTCTGCTTCTCTATAATTGTACACCTGTTATCCATGGCCATCAATAATGAGTGAGTGAGTGAGTGAGTGAGTGAGTATGATTTTACGCCGCTTTTAGCAATATTCCAGCAATATCACGGCGGGGGACACCAGAAATGGGCTTCACACATTGTACCCATGTCGGGAATCGAACCCGGGTCTTCGGCGTGACGAGTGAACGCTTTAACCACTAGGCTACCCGACCGCCCCCCATCAATAATGAAAAGTACAAATGAAATGCAGATGGATATATCTGTCTGTCTTGACAGAAATAACAGAAACTAGAAAAAAAAGTGAGCGTGGCTCACTAATACCCCCGACCTGCCTGGTGTGTCAGTAGTTTAAAATTAAATAGCAAGGATAGGGTTAGGGTTTGAAAAATTCATAAAAAATGGAAATTAATAAAAAAAAAAATTTCTTTTGACTGCACCCCTCCATATGACACAAATTATATGTACTAGGTTTGAACTGAATCCACTGAATAGTTTAAGAGAAATCATGCGGACAAAGTTTTCGGTCGGACGGACAGACGGACCCTTGGTATAACTATATACCCCCCGACATTTTGTCGGGGGTATAATAAAAAAAATGGCAATTCAACAACAAAGTATCCTAGATGAATCCCTGGAAACAAACATACGAAATAACTCAAACCTTTAATCTCTTGACAACATGTGACATTTGTTTTAGATTTATTAGCCATGTTAGCAGATATCTATGCCCTTCGCCAGTCATATTTAAATGTTACACGGACAATTTGAAATAATTTCTTGCCTTCCTTGACCATCTTCCCGAGGTAAGAGAGTTAACTGACTATAAAAGTCCGGTGACTTTATCCCTGTTCAAGTTAATGCAATACAAATCCCTATTATAATAACCATGCTAACATGTGTTTGTGTATACACCAGAAGCTACCATGTTTTTTTAAACAAAAGAACTAAAAAAATAAACCACCGTACTCAGATGCAAAATTAAAAATACAACAAAATGTCACCATGGTCACATCAGCAAATTCTGTTCCGAAACAAAATAAAAATAGCTGAATTTAAAGTACATCTTGTTAAACTGCATTGTTTACATCAGTGGAATAACACTTCCTTATAGAAAAACATATATATCCTGTTAACATCCCATAGGCTATCACAGGTCAACTTGTCATCTCTCATTCATTGTGTTGGTTGTCCTTACTCTTTGTAGGACACTAATAAGAGCATTAAAATATTCAGTATAAGACATCGATCAAATCAACTAACAACACTGATCGCCTCTCTATGATTAATACAGTGTCCTGACACTAGTGACAGGTTCAAATGGGTGCAAAGTTGGTGGAAATTTACAGTATCAGCTGCCATGTAAGCTAGAGCCAGCATAGATCACCAGTGCCCAGCTCAACTCATATAAAATCAATAACACTATCCCCAGTTGTGTCTGAATGTCACCCCTAAACGGAGGGAACTCGCTTCGCGATCTGCTTTTATTAACGACTACAGCACCAATCCCTGTATGACACAAATTTCATAAACTATACCGTCTCGTTCACCGGGGAACTCGTGTTTTATTATTGATTCTAACCCATTGTTTCCTTGTAACAAAGCAGACATCATTCAAACATACTGCATTACATTTGGTCAAATTACCATTTATAATATGAGATCGACACATTACGGAATACAACCCGAGTCCAACCAATCAAAACATATGTGATGGATTGAAAGGTGGATATTTAATGTTTTCTTACGATATCGATGTCATCCTCAGGTTCATTGTTCAACGGTGTTGCTCCATTTCCAGCCCCGTGGTCGCTGTCGGAATCGTCAGAATCCTCGTTGTTCTTCTTCTTCTTGCGTTTCTTTACCTGTACTTTGCCCTCACCCTCTGGGTTTCGCTTTTTCGGAGGCATGTCGGCTGCTTGTAAGAGCTTGTGTATTTGTCAAATAGTCAACAAAAACCGCGAAACCCTTTATCATGCAATGGTATAGACTCTCGCACTTTCGCGATCTCGCGCCACGTGCTCGAGACCGTCCTGATTGGTTGAGCGTGTAAACGCGCGTAAAATAATCATACTACAACACTAAGCGCAGTGTAGACGGAACCTAGTCAAGAACTAATCTGAATAAATAGGCTAGCAGAATTTTGACTTCAAATTAAATAACTTGCCCTGGGACTCTGAGCCTTCGCCTATTTTCCACCGACATGTTGTAAGGAGTGCTGTTTTCAACGGTCGGATCAAGTTACGATGGCTGGCTGAAAAGTTCTAAGCCTAACTGTGAAAGACCCGTACCAAATCGATGGTTTTCATTTTATGCCTCCACATAGTACCCTTCCAGGTTTACACACTTTTGCCAGCGATGCTGCAAGGCCTGGATGCCGGTCAAGAAGAAATTTTCTTCAGCCACCCTTAAAAAGTCATTCACAGCGGAAATTTTGGGAAACAGGTGGAAGTCTGACGGGGCCAAATCGGGTGAATAAAGGGGATGGTCAATGAGTTCGAAGCCACAATCATGGATCGCTGACATGGCAACCACCGATTTGTGAACAGGAGCATTGTCTTGGTGGAACAGGACTCCTTTAGTGAGCATTCCCCGTCGCTTAGCTTTGATAGCTTCACGCAACTGTCTCAGTAGGTCAGCATAATATCTTCCATTGATAGTCTGGCCTTTTTCAAGATAGTCAATCAGCAGAATACCCTTGGAATCCCAAAAGACTGAAGCAATCACCTTTTCAGACTTGGCATTTTGGGGGGCTGGTGATTCCGGATGCTTCCATTGTTTAGACTGAATTTTGGTTTCTGGTTGAAAGTGATGAATCCAGGTCTTATCCATGGTTACAAATCGGGCCAAAAAATCATCGGGATCTGCTTCAAAACGGCATAAATTGTCAGGGGACGTCAGGAATCTGATACGTTTCTTATCCGCTGTCAAGACCTTTGGCACCCATCTTGCAGAAACTTTTGTCATTCCCAACTTGTTGGTGATAATGTGCTCAAGCCTCTCATGAGAGATGCCCACAACACTGGCCATATGTCGAGTGGTCAATCGTCGATCAGCCATCACCATGTCATGCACCCGGGTAATGTTTTCCGGAATGGTTGCTGTTGAAGGCCTTCCTGGACGCGGGTCATCGTCAAGGCTCTCTCTCTGCCACGCTTGAATTCCGCAGCCCACTTCTTTACAGTGGAAAAGGAAGGGGCATCATCCCCTAAAGTGGAGACCATGTCAGCATGTATCTGAGTTGGAGTTAGCCCTTTCAGTTGCAGGTACTTGATGACTGCATGCCCTATAGCCAGTTTTGTCCATTTCTGGTGATTTCAATGGGTAGGTTCACAAAATGGTCTGGTACAAAGACAATAATAACACTACAGTTGCAGTTCTTATGTCTATGATTCATTAAATGATTGTACTTGTTGGTGGCAAAAGTTTGTTTCAATCCGATTGAGATATCTCACTTAGGCTTAGAACTTTTCAGTCAGCCGTCATACATTTAGAAGGGTGTCATATGGCTTTACAGTTCAAGAATATAGAGGAGGGATAACAAATTCGAATGTCAACCGACCGACGGTAAAGACAATATAGATCTATATTCGTTACCAAAAACATGAAGACAAATTTAACTTAGTTGTCAAATGCATCTGAAACAATTTAGGCACGTTAGTTTTTCGATTTTCAGAACTTCTAAATTGAGAAGCTTAACATGGCGTTTTGTACCTTTCCATAAAATCACCATTAAAGTATTTTTCGAAATTTAAAAAAAGCACATAAATAATTTGCCTGCTCGTGCATGCTTACGGAACCACAACTTTTCTTTGATAGATTATGGATACCCATTATGCCCCTCCACAGTCGCCTCTCACCACAAGTGAGTGAGTGAGTTGGGTTTAACGCCGCTTTTAACATTACTCCAGTTATATCACGACGCGTCAGCTTAATGTGGGAGGAAAGCCCGAAGTGATGCAGGTCTCAGACGTTTACCACTTCGGTGAAACCCACAAGCACGGGTATGGTGCTGACAAACCTAGAAACGTAATCGAGGTGAACCGGGATTCGAACCCACAATCATATGTTTCTGGCGTGTCCAATTAAGGGACACAATTCTAAACTGCGAATTGCGTTGCCTTAGACGACTGGGCCACCCGTGCCCTCGAACTGCAAAAGAAATGTCACTTCATGAAAATAATTCATGAAAGTTTCCCATTGAAACATCAATGCAATTTTTGGAGATATCTTGTTTTTGACAAAAAGTGACAGTCGTCCTAAAGCCTGGTTTATCTGATTCTCTGTAAGTCTTGGCAAGGCGCTTGTATCAATACAAGAACATTGAATCCACGTATTGGGGTGCTCAGAAAAGGCAGAAGGACCGCAAGTGGCTTTTTACTTTCATGGAGTGAGTTTGATTTTACGCCGCTTTCAGCAATATTCCAGCAATATCAAGACGGGGGACACCAGAACGAGACCCACTGGACACCAGAACGAGACCCACGGGACACCAGAACGAGATCTACGAGAACGGGTATGGTGCTGACAAACCTAGAAACATAATCGAGGTGAACCGGGATTTGAACCCCCCCCACCCCCTCTGATTCCAACCCGATATAAGCATTCCAACCCGATATCCCATCTTGTGAAATGGTTGTCCTTCTCTATATTTCATTTTTTATATCTTCAAATGGATCAACAAATTTCAGAAATGTTTTGATTTGGCTTTTAATACTTTTTAATTCGCAAATAGCCCAAAGTGATACCGATTTGGTGAAAATCAGTACAGACGGATGTTTTGTCAAGATAGGTCTCATGATCCGGCCAGCAGCACCAGAAGTAGAGCCTGCGCCAACGCCGGTCCCACACAACATATGGCAGATCTAAAGACCTACAAGACAGGCATCAACGCGCTGCAGCAGTTCAGATCGGTGCATCAGCTTCCGGAAACGTGGCCAGTCCCCCTAGATCAGGTCGTAAACTTTATTGCTCATTTGTCAGTCACCAACCATTCTCCCAACACAGTAAAAACATATATCGCGGGTATATCCGCCAACCATAAATTTAAGGGTCAGGAAAACTGTACCAATCATTTCCTGGTTACTAAACTAATAACAGGTATGTACAAGTCAAGAGGGCGCCAGGACACAAGGAAACCTATTACTCTGGACCTGTTGAAGGTGGTCATCAACAATCTCACGCATGTTTGTTCCTCGTCATACGAGCTCTCGTCATACGAGATATGCCTCTTCAGAACTGTTTATTGTGTAGCCTTCTTTGGCTTCTTCAGGGTAAGTGAACTAGTTCAAACTAAGATGTCACAGCCAGGCTGCTCCATCAATAATGTAAGTATATCAGGTGAACCGGAGAAAACTACTATCCACCTCTCACACTCCAAAAGCGACCAACGTGGGGACGGCAATTCAGTGGTTAAAGAGGCGACACCAGGTAAATCAATCTGCCCAGTGGCGGCCCTTAAGGCATACTTAAACGTGCGCCCATCTGGCCCCGCCCCGGCATTTATCCACTTCGATCATACACCGCTAACCAGGTAACAGTTCCAAGCGGTCCTCAAACAGGCCTTGGCCCTCAGCTCAGTTGGTACTGAAAGTTATTCTTCCTACTCTTTCCGAATCGGAGCAGCAACAACAGCAGCTATCAATGGGGTACCACCACATCTCATCCAGCAACACGGCAGGTGGAAGTGAGAATGCTATATATACGTCTTCCTGTGAAATAATTATTCACGTTAGTTAACAGTTACTAAAACATAACTAATATAACTGCCAAATGCTATTACAGTACATTTGTGCCAGTCTGGATGGTGGGCTTAAGCTTCGTGGCAAGGGCAAGGCAACAACTCTCCCCACAGCGCCCGGAGCTGGTGCCCCCCAAAAAGATCTTGTGGTTGGCGAGGGGCGGTCCGCGGTGGAACGACCTGGATAGGGTAATAGATGCTCAGGTGGAGGCAACGCGGCGCAGCCCTTCAGCTGTGGTCATACACCTGGGCTCGAACGACTTGGGCTCCACTAAGACCAGCCAGCTCCTCCTCGATATGGAGACACCGATCATGCGGATCCAGGCACACCTGCCGGATACCCATGTCTGTTTTTCTGACATCCTTCAACGTCGATACTGTCACTACGCACGCGACCCACGTAAAGTGGAAAAGAGCAGGTCAAAGATTAACAGGCGGCTAGCCAATCGTCTCCGCGACGTTGGCAACTTTTCAGCAAGGTCTTCAGCAACCCATGCTTGCCGTAAAAGGTGTATGTTGCTTGTCGTAAGCAGCGACTAACGGGATCGGGTGGTCAGGCTCACTGACTTGGTTGATGCATGTCATCGTATCCCAATTGCGTGGATCGATGCTCATGATGTAAATCATAAGATTTTCTGGTCCAGACTCGATTATTTACAGACCGCCGTCATATAGGTGGAATATTGCTGAGTGCGGCGTAAACAACAAACAACCGAAGAATCTTGTGTATAAGAGCTTTCTAAACAGGGGGCACGATTCGATCTTTTCATCCCTGTATATACAACCACAAACTGGTAATATTTCGACAGTCTTGAGACCGCCTCCGTGGTCTAGTGGTAGAGAGCGTCCGTCCGGAGAGTGGAAGGTAGAGAGTTCGATCCCCGGCCGCGTCATACCACACTCTAAACCCAAGTGTTCTACTTCTGAACATAGACAGAACACATGGATGTAGCACTTTTAGAACGCGTCGATGTGTTCTGAAAATATTTTGAACGTCGATGTTCTCGACCCAGAACAGGAGTGTTCTATAGACACAACGTGTTCTGACGATGTAACACTTTTAGAACGTCTGTAAATTGTTCTGGATCGAGATTCAGAACACTACACATTCTCAGACACGTACGTCCACAGTACTGCATTGACGACTCATCGTGTGTGTCGAATACAATTTACTCGATGTTTTTTCAAGGCGCAATAATTTGAACTATACACCGATGCATATTCTCTGGCATAAAATCACACGGACGAAATTTTGAACTGCAACCATGA